GGTTATAGTATTATTCTTTGAGAACTATTTGAAATATTTATAAAAGAATTATCAATAAATAGAAGTAATGTTGAAAGTATGACTTGGATTTTTCAAAAAGTTGGTAGTTGAACTGTTGTTTGCATCTTAAAAGTTGAAGAAATTGTAAACGCGTTCCACTGGCTCTGTGTAACAGAACTTAGCCATAGAGTGCTATGGTATAGTATATGGTATAGTATAAAAGTATGAATGATTTTCAAAATATATTATTAATCCACCTTTCGAAATATGCCAAAAAATACTTATTTTCTCCTGAATTTTTAAATAATTAATGATTAAAGTAAGCATCAAGCATTAAGTCAGAAAATTTAATTTTTACTTAGCATCATGGCTAACGCAACCCATCATGTGTTTTCATATTTGTGGGGACAAAGTGAATGCAAATATTTATTTTTCATTCACTTTGATTATTTTGAATCACTATAATTCTACTTATTAATTTAATTGAAATTTTAATAATTTTATCAAAATTATCAACTCTCACTAGAAAAAAAAAGGCAGTATACCTAAACATATGTTTAACACCAACACGGTCCTAAACAAGTGACATTGTTGACAGTAAATAAATGTATCTATTTATGACACTAAAGTTAAAGAGACTATAATTTACACTTTTGAAACATTTTTATTCTGCAAAAAATGTCGTATCACGACTTCTCTGTACTTTTTTTGCTCTTAAAAATGTTTTTATTATATTCTTCCAGTTATGCAAGATTTAAATCTTTTTCAGAGTTTCTAATAAATCATGCACAGTATTCATAAACGAAATAACTATAAGTATTTAAAATTCTTTAGTTGATATGCACGTAGTGTAGAATATAGCGAGGGAATAAAAGCTGTTTCATAACAATTTAACTCCACCTGTATACAAAATTAATCAAAGGGATTTTTTTCTGAATGGACCCTGTACTTTTTATTCGATTATATTAATTTCCGTTACATAAGACGCTTAACCAATTAGAATTATATAAGTCCAAATAATGTTAGTAACAGGAGAGATTATGTTAGCATAAGATAAACTACAGTAAAATAGAACACTACGACGTCGGTTGCCGGATCACGCGATATCACGTGGCAAATTTTTTCCTACTGTTTGTCCCAATAATACAGATTATGTGGTTGCAAGATGAATTATTATCGAAATATTTTTGCAGGAAATATGCATTATCGTGACAATAACATATACAATAACATAATATAGCCTAAGGTTTAAGCTTATATTACTGCTCTAGCCTAAGAAGTTATCAAAAATTAATCCCCATCATTTTCCTATTTCTTTTTCGACAAGACATTTACATTTTTCATCCTTTCTCCCAATCATTGCTTCTTTCCTCCTCCCCAACTGCAAAATGACTCTTAATTTTAATTTGCATTTTATAAAATAATTCAATTTATAGTAAATGTGCATTTTTATTCGAAGTTTTCTATGTTAAAAAATCAATTATAAGAAATTGTTAAGATTTGCATTTAGCTAAGAATATTTAAATTTGGCTTATACTTTTGATATTTGGGTAGTGTTTCCCAAAGTGTGGTACGCGTACCCCTAGGAGTACGGGAACAGTTTAGCGGGGGTACGAGTTCTTATGCGAAATATCTTAGAACAAACGAAAATTTCAAAAAATTTTATTTAAAAATAAAGCTAGCCATAAAAATTTACGATTACGTATTTTTCTATTGGCTATTTTTCGCAGAGTTAACAGTTAATAATTAGTGATGTCCACAGCCAGTTGTGATTTTTGACTTTTGTGCAATTTTTTTGTAGTAAAAAATACATTCATTTTTAAATTAGTGGTACACAGCGTTATGAAAAATTTAGAAAGGATACACAGAAGTCATAAGTCGGGAAACACTGCTAGGCTAATAGTTTGAAGTCCTTATCGCGGGGGTAGAAAAATAAAACTATTTTCGAATTAGCCTCCACTTTAAACGCGAGCTTTTCGAGTTCGACATTTAAAATGCACATTTTTTGTTTGATTGATTATGAGAAATTTATTCTCTTATTCCATCTGTGGTTATGGATTTTCGTTTAAACTTTTCGTCGTTGATTTCGTTCACGGTTACAGAAAACAAAATCAAAGCTTCTTTACAATATTGTTATCGATTGTGAACATTCAAAAAATCTCACTTCATATGCAAAATAGAATCTTTTTCAATTTGCATGAATTTTTTTAATATTTTTAAAAGAAGGTTATCCGAGAGTGTAAGCGTTAAAATGAATTACATTACCGAATTACTTTCCGTTCATACATATCAAATGGCTGCGTTGCGTGATTTCACGAAGTCTGATTTACTGAATTTCTTCACTTCATTTCTTTGATTATTTTTCTTAGTTCCAGAGTAAAATAAAATAATTTATCATTCATAGATTTATTTTTATATTAAGCGTTCTAGTATGATGGATGCGTTTTTACTTCGGAGTAAAAATTCCGTATTCGTGATATACACATACATCCGTGCCTTGCTTATTTTATTCGAATATTTACTTGAAAAATTTAGGAATTGAGAATTTCTACGTATATAAAAAAATGAGCTGGCTTCCAAACTATGAAGTTGGCCGTTAATGAGATAGTATAAACAGACGTTATTCACTTCTGATTATGCTCGCCATCTTCCTATCTTGAATAAAGCTTAATTTTTTTTATTTTTCTTGATACTTTTTGTTCTTGTTGACGAACAAAGGTTTCGGTTTGTTAGATTGAGAGAAATAGCATTTAATTTTTTACAGGTTCTACAAAAGTTCGAACAATAAAATAATGTTCTTAGTAACTTAGTAAGCTTTGTACATTTATATGCTTTTATGTTTTTAAAATAGACTTATATTTTCATTTAAATCGATCAGGATGATGCTTAAAAATTACGCAAAAGCAACAATGTTTTTCAACACTTTAAAAGCAGACAAACGTATAACATCAAATTATCTTTTTAAGTATGCTGATTTCAGTAATGTACTGGCTTTGAATAAAAATACCTCAAGAATTCTTGAATTGGAAATAATTAAATTTTTCTTTTTTAATTTTTCGAAAATAATGTCCTACTAGAAGCGAACTTTACCACTGCCACGTTGAGTGGCAGCTGCCTCAAGCGAATATGCAGTGGCTACAAAACCTCAAAATTTTTATGGTTTTATTTAACCTTAAAATTCAAAATATCAATTTTTAATTTATTTTGTACTAAAAATTTGATTTTTGCTATAAAAACAATTGACAAATTATGTACCTAAATCATCAAATGACTTGACAGTTAAAAGGTTAAACGCATGCATCAATGAAATGCTTCGTATATATCTTTCGACAGATCATATAAATAATATTTCCCATAAAAATACTATTATGCTGTTGACTGCAAAGAAGAAACTCCCGGAATAAAAAATATTCTTTTTTTTCCTTTTCCCCTATCGCCAAGTCCTTATTGAGATTAGAACCCACATAACCCATTTAGAGGATTAAGAAACCACAATTCATGTCTGGGGGAAATCTAAACTGTCTCTTAATATCCTCTAAATGTCCTCATAAGCACGTTTAGAACATTTTGTGCCCTCCCAAAGAGGCGGGATGTCGACTTTTTTTTATTCGTCCACCATTTCGAAATTTACAACATATGTTATCTGTTTGTAAAATTCTGAAATGATAATACTACAATGATTGACCCTTCAATTTATGAGCTCTGGTTATTGGATTCATGTCCTGTTTGGAGGGGAAATTAGATTTATGATAGTTTCAAATAATTAAAAAAAAATAATAATAAATAAAAAATAAAATCATATCAAGTCATTTACAAAAACTATCTATATCGAATTATTAAAAAAAAAACATGTTTTTTTTAATTATTTTCTTACGAAATGCTGGCTCATTTAAACTTTATCTTGTCCTTTTCAATTTATTATTTTTTAAAAAATTCAATAAGCTGTTGTTTTCCTGCTTTTGACGAAACTTGAAAACTCTGCATCCTCTAGTGCAAAGTTATGAAGAAAAAGTAAAGAAAATAATTCTTCTCTAACGCTTGGATTTTTACTCACTGTAAATGCCTACCTGTTTGTGGACGCGCTGGATTTAAGTGCAAACGTTGAGTAATTAGGCGGAAAAAAAAAGCACATTCTTATAAAAATATATTTTTTAGATACATTTGGATTCTTCACCGTCAAAATATGGGGAGGGAATGACTGAAATTTGGAAAATATGGTCCCAATAGTTCGGCCAAGAGAGCAGTCGGAAGTTAGGACCTCTTTAATTTATCTGCTGTGCATTTCGTCAAAATGCAAGAACTATCGGGGGGGGGGGGGGGGGGGANNGGGGGGGGGGGGGGGGGGGGGGTAAGAAAATGGCAGAGGCCCCCCTGATCGTTATCTTAAACAAAATTTATTTGCTGTTTTATAATGAAGTGTTTTTAAATTATTTATATCATGAATAAATTACGATATAGGTAAATTTGAGCTTATATCTATTTCAAGCTTTGTTAACTCATTATTCTAATAGACAATTCTTAAGGAAAAACACAAAAGGAAATTATTTATAACATTTAGGGGACTCTAGACCTGGGCCTCACATGTCTTATGATAAATCAGGCATTGCATTTCGCTATATCTCAACATTTTAAGCGAAAATACAATTTTTCTCTCACATAAACAAAATAATTTCAACGCACAAATAATTTTTAATAATTATGAAATACTTTTTACTGTTTTATTTAATAATGTTCGAAAATATAAAGCATGCGAATTTTTCGTAATTTTTAACTGTTTTGAGTTTTGAGTGATAAAGTACAAAACTTCATAATTTGTAGATTTGCTCTTGAAAAATAAAAATTTTCAAAATACGAAACTAACTTCAGACATTTTTACAACTCGAAAACAAAGGAAGAATAGAATCCTTTATACAAGGCGTGTACTAAACAATTTAGTAAATTTACATCAACTATTAAAATATAATATCAAATTTGGCATAATGAACAGAAAAAGTCTTCTCTAAAACGTTCTAATTCGATGAAAGACAATCGATTATAGTTTCGATTAAAGTTTCGATTTCTATATCGAAATCTTTATTAGACGTCATCGATGAAGTTTGTTTACATTTCCTGATGATGGGAGTGTGGTATGTCTGAGGAAATTTAATTAATTGAACTATGTAAGTGTATTAAATGTATCAGTATTCTATATATATTAAGTATAGTTACGAATCATTGTAAACTTTCAAGACTTAACTTGTAATTTGTTTTTTTTAATTCTCTTAAATACACTTATAAACGTTAATTATTCATAAAGATTATTTGACTTACTACTGTAGTCTATTTTTTTTCCATCTTCCCAATTAATGCCTTATCTTCCATAATGTAGAATTTTTATTTTTTAGATAACAGCTCTTCAAGGTCAACGCTCTTAATTTTTTTTATTAGAAGTCATTTAGCTGTGCACCTAGTAACAAGAAATGGGGAGATATCTAAAAAGCATGCTTCTTTCTCGCCAATTCCATTTATTAGTAAGAAGTATTTTGTATATATTTTCGGCTATAAGTATGTTATTAGCATTTGATATCTTAGCTACAATAAAAGCACCGAATATCAAAATTACGTAGATACTTGTTTGATCTTTTGTAGCATAAATTTATCATTAACTTAAACGTAAAAGTAAAATAAAATTATTAACAAATGAAATATAATGAATTTATAAATAATTATTTAATATTGTTAAAAAATTAAATACAATTAAATCAAATTTTTCATTTTTTTTAAAGTAGTTTTTACAAGATTTTTCTTGCACTCTTTTCATTTTATTTATTTTATTTCAGAAATATGGACTTACCTCAAGGCATTTTTCAGCAGCAGCTGGTGTATGTATTATAATTATTATTGTCGTCATGACATTGTTAGTATATTTAAATGAAATTTATTTTCATGTCATATATCACCCATTACTTTTAACCCCTTTAGAATTGCCAATATTTAATTCTTATTCTTTAGTAATACTTTTACTACTACCTACTTACTACTTAATACCTGTACTGCTAAGTTTTTTTTTATTATTTATGAATTGCTTTTTTTAAAAAAAACTCTTTTAATCTTTAAAAATTATATGTTCTTCCCCTTGATTTACTTTAAGGCTTTATAATATAACCAAAACTTGAAGGATGAAATGAATGAAAGAAAAATCTGGAATATTTAAAACTCAATCAAGTTATTAAAAGCAGAATGAAGAAAAGAAAGCATTTTTTATTAATTTTTATAAAAAGTAGGTAGGCTATTTTTTAAAAAAAAAATAAAGTCAACACTATACATTAAAAATATTCTTAAAATATTATTCCATTAAAATTAGAACCTTGATATTTTATCACTTCCTTTAAAACATATGATCAGCTTCAACAAATGTTAGTTTTTTTATGTATAATTTGTTAACTTCTCTCTTTACTTTTAGGGGTTAGATATTTTAAATTTTTTTAAAAGTTTCTGTTTTCTGAAATTTTATTTTTAGGACGAGTAATAAATTGTACTTTTATAGAAAAATTCAAGTACTCAAGAGCACAGAAAAAATAAATGTGCCAAAACAATGCAGGAAATTTGAAGAGAAATTCACCTATCAAAGAGTGGAGTTTAGAATTGTCTGACTCTACATTGTTAACTAAATATTCGATTAAAAACGACAGAAATTTAAAAACTTAATTACACAATTTTAAATATTTTATGATTTTTTTTTTGTTTAATTAATAATTCGAAATCACTTTGGATTCCTTGCTGCCCAGAGGGCTTTTTATTTTAAAAGGTAGATAATTTAAAAACTTTCAGGTTCAGATTTAAAAAATTTAAAATTTGTCACTTGATTTAAAAAAAATAACAAATGTATTTATAGAGAACATGATTGTTTTCAGTGGATTTTGATATTTATGGTCACTGAACTCTAATCATTATAATATTTTTTATTTAATTTGTAAGTCTATTATTTGTTTATTTCATTTTCGTGATCTAGACAACTAGTTAGTCGTTTTGTCTAAAAAAAGAACCCATTACTATGACTCTTATCGTCTTACTATTTCTGTTTTCTGAAATTTTATATTTAGAAGAGTGTTTAATTTGTGTTCATTAATTTTGTTCTGTCATTAATTTATGTTCATAAATTTTTTTTTCTAGCCAACTACAAAACTTTTCATTGATGGGAAGTTTGTTGATTCCAAAACTTCTGAATGGATTGATGTTCATAATCCTGTGAGTTTTTTTTTCATTTTTAAATTCTTTGTAAATAAAAAAATTGTGCTTCATAATATCTAGATTAAGAATCTATTTTTATGCCTTTATATTAAGAATCAATCAATTTTCACATCTAAAATAATGTACTTTTTTGTTCCTATAAGTCAGTAGTAGAGTTCCAATTGATATTAATGTAAGATTTAAGTGATTATTATTTTTTTGTTTTGTTTAACATAGTCAATATTTTTAAAAATTTTCTAAAATTTATTTTTTACGTATTATATTTTCCATGTTTTGTGTTCTTTGCTTTGTTTTTAATGTATTTAAGGATAAGCTAATGATTATAAAGATAATGATTATTTTTTTAAAAATTTAATGAGTAACATTTTATTAATAAAATTATTCTACTTCAGAAAAAAGATTTTTTACATGTAACTTTTTTTGTAAATTTTAATTTGTAAAGGAATATTATAGATTCACTGAAATAGGTAAGCTTTTTATTAAAGTAAAAAATACGAATTCATTTCCTATGGTTTGCTTAGTAATCCTAATTTTGATATTATTGTTCAAGTGAAATTAATATGAAACAATGAGAATATAATTTAGTAGTTACTTCTCAACTTATCTTACTCTAGAATTCTGATGTAGTAATGTACTTGAATTCTTCCTAAAATTAAGTATTTAATTTTTGGTTTATGTGAACCATAATGAATTAAACTCAACTTTAGTCAAAAGGTACTTTATTTTATTACTTTTGTAACTGCAGTTTCTTCTATAATTACCACTAAGGGCACTTGATTTAATTCCTTTGTAAAGTATTGTCACATGCCTTTCTATTGGATGTCAATAGCCACAAAAAATTTTTTATTTTAAAAGTTTAAGGTTTATTATTACTTATATAGCCTTAGCATAGTTATGATAATATAATTGTTTGAAATAAATGAAATTGTTTAAAGATTAGGCATAAAGGAATGCTGTATTGAATAAATATTTTATACCAAGAGGAGGGAAAAGATGTATGAGTGACAAATACAAATTTAAAACAAGAATAAGAAATTAAGATTAGAATGCTGAGAAATAGCATGGACTATTTAATGATACTACGGATAAAATTCAGTTGTTCTCCCTTTAAAGTAATTCAATATCTATGTTTTGTTACCAATGTACTAGTTAATCAAAGAAATGTTTATGTTCTTATTTGAATGCCAGGCGACAAATGAAGTTGTGACCAGAGTTCCTAAGTCCACACCATCAGAAATGGAAGCAGCTGTATTGTCAGCAAAGGAAGCATTCAAGTCATGGTCTCAGACATCCATTTTGACGCGTCAACAAACAATGTTTCGCCTTCAGCATTTAATCAAAGAGAATATGGTAAGCCAGTACTTTGTAGGATGAAAAGTTCTATTCATTGTATATGCTGTATTTATGTATAGTTTTGATTTGAATAGATATTATAAATTTTTGCTATTTAAAAATAAAATTTAAATTTCTATTTTTTAAATGTCTGCATAATTTTAGTTTGTGTTTATCATACTTCGTGCCTAGTGGCATATAAGGCCCTTATCTTTTTGCGCCAGCTCACTTGGTTTCCCCCCGCAAGATTTCACTTCAGACCAGCTAGCCCATCCCGTTTGTCTTTTTTCTTCTTCCACCTTTCTTCTCCATGTTAGCATGAGTCTGTATCTTTTTCATTTGCCCTTTGGTGCCCACCTTAATGCTACTGGTGGTATTCTTGTAAGAGGCATTCTCAATACATGACTTTTTTTGAATCCATCTTTTTCTTTTTGTACTGGCGGTGATTGGTTCTTGCCTGGTTTTACTGAAGAGTTCTGAATTTAATATAGTGTGAAGCCAGAATAGTTTTAGAATATTTCTTAAACCTCTATTTTGCCAACTATTTTGTTTTGTACTGTGAAATATTGTTAGTTTCCATGTTTTTGACCTATACAACAGTACACCGCTTACCATTAAATTAAAAATGTTTATTTTAGTCTTTAGCATTAAATTATTCGATCTCGAAACTTTTAAACGTTTTTTGAAGCAAAATCATACTTTTGAAATTCTTGCTCCCATTTCAGCATCTGTTAAACCCGTCCTATCAACAATTGCACCAAGGCAAGTAAATTTTTTAACATCTTCTATTACGCCACTTTCAATTGCAATTGCACACTTAGTCTTGTTATTTATTCTCACAGTCTTGGTTTTGTTCTGTTTTTCAATACAACATTCATAACATATTTTTCAAAAAAAATTTTTTTGGATTGCAGATCATCAAGTTTGCTGGCAAATCACATTTTTATCTGTGACTCCGTATTTTTCTTTATATTGTTGTACCAATCGGTCTGACTTGGTACTATCTAGCACATGTTTGATTTTCTGTTCTGTTTCTTTTAATCCACAGTGTTAGTGAAGACATTCCTTCTGTGCCATTCTTGTTTGACGTTTTTCTTGTTTTGGGTGTCTATTTCAACATTTTATCCTTCTAAGGCAGCAAATTTATTTTTGAATTTGATGACTAATCTGTCTCTAATATTTTGGTTCTTTAGTTTAGAGGTATCGAATCCAATTGGTCTTCTATTTTTATTTTATTAAGTCTCAGTTTCAGATTTATCATCACTAAGTAGTGATAACTTCCAACGTCTACTCCTCCCCTCACTTTTACGTCCCTCATGGATCTTACAAACTTTATATTCCATTAATAGCAATCTGGTCCTTGGTTTTCCAATTTGGTGATTTCCATATCACTTTATGAATTTCTTTGTGTTTGAAATAAGTTCCACCAATAACATGTCCATTTAATTTACGAAAGGATACAAATCTTTCTCCATTTTCATTTCTTTGTCCTGAGGCTTCATTTTCAATCAATCTTTCATCGTCATATGTTTTTTTTCTTCAACTTTAGCATTTAGATCTCACATTATGATTAAAAGGTCATGTTTTGCAACTTTGTTACTTTCTGTAGTTGATCATCAAAATGCTCTTTGTCTTCTTCGTCTGCATCATTTGTTGGAGCTAACACAAGTATAATAGTCATTTTTATATACTTTAAGAAAAGCCTTGACTTAATTATCCTTTTGTTAACTGGCTTTCAAGCAATCAGACTCCTCCTTCAAGTTTTTCATCATTTCCTGAATAGAGTATTGTTTTATCATCTGCTGTTTTGATATTTCTAAATTTAGTCCACCTGGCCTCACCCACTCCTAGAATATCAAGCATATAGTTGTCCATGTTTGTTATCTGTCTATTCTTTCCATTTTTGCACATAGTCCTTACATTCCATTTCCCTACTTTTAGTATTTCTTTTGCCTTGGGCATTCGCTTCATACGACCAGAGGCTCCCTTGTATTAGGGCTTTCTCCCTGACACATCATCAAGGCGCAAAATCCTCAATAAACCAGGGAAGCTAGCAGTCATCTCGAACCTTGCAAGTCTCTACACTTTCTGTCATTGCACAGTCTAAGCTTTGGGTTTCTATAATCTGGAAATTTTTTACGATTAGGAGTGATTACCCCCTCGCCCAACCTTCCTCATTTGCACAGGTTTAGGACTATCATCGGATTGAGTGAGCTCTAACTTATGGCTGAGTTTCTGCATAATTTAAAATCTTATTTTTTATTTTGTTTAGACTTTTGGTCTTACGTACGGCCTTACATACGAAGCCGAAGTTTTTGAAAATGACAATATTTTGTCTCTTGAATACAATCATGACACTTTGTTACGTTATATCTTATCTCATTTTTCTATTAAGAGGGGGCTATATCGTTCCATTTTTGGGACCAAGTTAACAACTATGAAGATATAATTTCTGTACTGATTGTGCTATAAAGCCTTGTTTATACTAATTGCGTTTGTTTTAAAAGTTAGAAATTAAAATTATGCTCTTTTTATACCAAATAAAATATAACAAAAATATTTAGATTAAATCTCTGTTGACTTAGTAAATGAAAATTGTCTGTACAAGGCTAGTGTTTTCAATTAGACTTTCTTCTGTACTCATTAAAATAACTTGAATTTTCTTCAACAGTATAAGAAAAAGGAAATTTTTGCATCAAAATATTCTCTTAGAGAAAAATATTTCATATAAAAACAGTTAATTTACCAAGCTTAATGCATTTAATTATTTGTAATTTAATAGAGTTTTTATTAGTTTTGAAAATGAAATATGGTTTTTAAGAAGTCTTTGATTTATTTATAAAGTTAAAGTTACACAGAACTGAAATTATGAAGTTCTTAAAAAAATAAAGAAGTTGTTACTTAAAATAAAGTGTTATTTAAAGAAATAAATATTTCAGATATGAATGAATAATTTACTGAAATGTTCTGTTTATTTATTTAAATGATACTAATTTTAATATAGTTATGCTCTAAAAAATAAGTGGAATTCACTAAAAAATTTCCCTAAGTTTTACTTCTTTTTGGTCACTCAAGTAACACAAAAAGCTTTATAATTGATTTTTTTTAAATGTTGTCAGCTCTGGCAATGTTTCAATTTCCGAAAATGCAACATTTAGTACCTCAGAATACAAAATATTTGGCTAAAGATAGCTTAATACAACTATACTTTGAAATTGATGCATATAGATTTGAAACCGTACTGATTTTCTGCTATCTGAATTCTGTAGTTAGCATTGATAACAACATAGAAAAATAAAAATCAATGAGCAGAGGCTTATAGTTTTTTAGATCAACATACATGAAAAGAGATAAAAAGTTGCTATTCAACTAATTAAACTATTATATGCCCAGTCTTGACTTATGCATCTTAAACTTGAACTCTATCCAAGTAAGAAAAGGCTATTATTGCCATCTGTGGGAGAAAAATTGAACTATTTTTGGCAGAATTGAATAGGTCAAATTATACAGAAAGCATGCAAATAGAGAAATTAGCGAAATTTATAAGGACATTGATGTACTAAAATTTATAAAGTTAAACAGATTGAAATTTGAGGACACATTTGCTATTTAAATTTAACTATCTCAACACATAAGATATTCAAACACAAACCAACTCGTAACAGAGCTAGAGAAAGCTTCTTCTTTGACTGGACTCCATTAATGCAGATTTTAAAACTATCAGGGTAGTGAACTGGTAACAAGGTGAAGGACATAGAGAAACGTTATAATAGAGAATGCAAAGGCCCACCTCGGGCTGTCCTACTAGTGATGAGGATGAGTATCTCAAAATAGTCTAATGAATTTGAAGTTTTCTTAAAATTTCTGCAGCTAGAAGAGAGAAATGTGATTCTCATAGGCTTAATACTGATTGTTTCTACAGTTTTTTTCTGTAAATAGTTTTTGCTTTTTATCTATTTAAATTTTGCACTTTTTTATGTCTTTTTATTATTTTTTTATTGACTATTACAGTCATGCCCTTTTGACTATTACAGTCAAAAAGACATGGTCCTTTTTTGTGATGATTTATAAATGTTAAAACTTTGATTTTTTTTAATATTAAATATTAGCACAGTTTAGTATGTATGCAATGTTTAATATATAATGCTTAATGTATAATGTATAGTTATGATGTGTTTCTTTGCAGGAGAGATTAAAACAAAGTATCACCCTAGAGCAAGGGAAAACTTTAGCTGATGCTGCAGGAGATGTCCACAGGGGATTACGTAATTGGACTTTATTTCCTTTTTTTTTCACATCCTAATTTCACTGTCCTATTTTTACAACTACAAATAAATCCTTACCTTTTATTTATGTTTTAAAAGTGATTTTTTATGTTAGCATTTCTTAAAATGCGTGAAAGTATTAAAGGTTCCCATTATGTTAGGTATTCTATAAAATGTTCTGAAATATTCAACTCTCCATTTTATCCATTTCAACACATTTTTTTTTAAAATTCTGAAAAATTCTCTTCTTTTTTGCAAATTGTTGGAAATTATAAATTTAAAATCATTATTTAATATTATTAAAATCATTATTTAATAAATAGTTTTTAAAATATTTTTATGAGATATATTTTGAAATACAAAACTTATTACATACTATTCTACCTACTCCAATAGAGTGAGTTGAGCTTTAATACTTCTTTTTTTTTAAACTGTGCTGTTTTGTCTAGAATAATGCTCTTTCATTATAATTTTCTTAAAACATTAAGAAAAAAAAGATTTAATGTAAGACAGAGGTAAATAATTTCATATAAATTAACTTAAAATTTTACGATAGGCATTTCAACAGAAAAACAATCAGTGAGAAAGAAATTTGGCGCAAAATCATATTTGTTGAAACAATGTGCAGTGCATAAAATAAATAAACAAAGCACCCTGAATAACTTATGGTCTAATAATTGTATTTTTCCAATATGAGACTCAATAATCTTCGTTTGTTTTTTTAAAAACGGAGTTTATTTAAAATTTGATTTCACATAAACTATTGAAGCGATTTTGTTCAAATTTTGTATTTTCAATTTAAAATTACATTTTTCAAAATTATGTATAGTAAATTAACATTAAGGGGTCCAAACTTTTTACCACTTTCCTGAATAAACTATTGGGACCTTATTTTATCCCACATTTGAAAGGTCATGACTTTTAATCAGAAAAAATGTTTAATCAGAGAAAGTAAGTTTTTCTGTCTGTTTTTGTAACCTAAAATATGGTCTGCTCTAAACAGTTATTATGTTTAACGTAAGGTCTTTGAAACCATTGAGATTGAGTACTAGTATGTGATAATGTAATCATTAGATCAAAAGTTATGCAGGGTTTTTTCGTTTTTTATGTACACTGTGCATCACTATAAGCCTTTTGTATTATGAGAAAACATGTTGACAGCATGTGATTCTTTGTTTTTCAGAGGTTGTTGAGCATGCCTGCTCTGTCACTTCCTTGCAGCTAGGTGAGACTCTCCCATCCATATCTAGAGATCTCGACACCTTCTCTTACCGCCTCCCATTAGGAGTGACCGCTGGAATAGCCCCTTTCAATTTCCCAGCCATGATACCGCTTTGGGTAAGAAACTTTCATTTTTATGAAATTTAATATTTTACCTTCCAAGTGTTGAGCCCCTGGGTAAAATTGTACAGAAATTTCCCTGCTGCACACTACTTTGCTATTGTATAACAGGCAGAAACAAGTTTTCTGATTCAGGAAAGCTTGTAGCTGAAATTGGGAAAAAGCCAGAACTAATACTCAGAGGGTTAATTGGGATTAAATTAATTTATAGAGCAACCGTTAAAAAATGTTGTCTTTATATTTTTTATTAAACTTTAGACATGTTTTAATTTGCTATCATAACTCTCTAATATGCCATCTGGGGAGGAGACCAGTTTGATATCTTGATCCTCCCCCTGTCCCCCTCCTGTTCTTTTTAGTTGTATAGGTATGTACTATAATATTTTCCCCATTCTTAATATTTTTCGTATTTGTCAAATATATTTTTTAAAATTTTCTCAATGCTTTCTTTTAGAACTATGTTCAATGTAGTTTACTGTTCCATTTTGTTTCCTAACTTAAAAGGTTTTAATCTATTTGAAAATCAATACAGAAACTAATGTACTTCCTCCTCTTATGACTCACCACACGCTGATGGTGAAAGCGTCCGAAGTACAGAATATGTCTATAATAAATTACATAGTAAAAGTAATATGGAAATCATTGACATGAAAATATTGTATTAAAATTACTAGAAATAATTTTTATTAAAAATATTATGTACTTACTGCTAAAATATTTCTTATGAAAAAAAAAGATGAATTATATTTGTTTACTAAAAAAAATGTAGAAAATTTGTCGAAATTTCAATGCACTCTTTCCTTTAGAGTGCAAACGATACACTTTAAACGTTTGTAACAGATTTCTACTCAGTCTTTGTAAATTAGTGTAAATACAGAATGTTTCCATTTGTTTCAAATGCTTTGTCGTCTTCTGTAAATGTTGGCGCTGGTAGTGATTCTGTATTGTCATCTTCATCGGTGTCATTTCTGCTATCATTTTTCCAACGGCCATTTAGTCTCAAGTTTTAGCAACTTTCCTCAACTGGTACATAAACATCAAACGTGATGTTTGAGGTGTTTTTACTAAACTGTTATAAACTATCTTTTTCTTCTTCCTTATTAACATCAGGAATGACTGTTTTTTTCTTCTCATAACAGAAACTTAAATTTTTTCAAATGTCAATCAAATTTCTAGATGGAGATGTAGGAATCTTCTAATTTTTTAAAAACTGTCTAAACAACCTTTGGTAACATTATAAAAATAGCTAATGTACCGTTAAAACAAGACTATATATACAGGAAAACAAAAGATAAGGGAAAGATGGATCAAGGTTTCACTGCAAAATATTTCACGTGCGAATACCTATTATAGAGGGGTTAAAATATTGAACTCTTATTATGAAGGATTGGGGTACATTCACCACTAATGACTTGAAGTCACTAATAACTTGAAGCCACTAGTGACCCTGTTTTAGATCTATGGATACTAACTTGCAGAGAAATAAAAGTAACTGGTGACGCTATTTCTATCACCATGCTGTTTTTTTGTGAAATTAAGGAGCCTTTAATTTACAGCTATTGAATGTTGAGAAAGTGCTTTATATACATATATTGTTCAACAATTTAAATTTGATAATATTCTTATTATTTGTAAAGTTTACTGGGTTTCTCTCTTTTTACAACAGCTAGGAATATTATTAATGTATCATTTTTGTAGCATAATTATGTCGATGAAATTGTCTTGTTGAGAAAGAATTCATGTTTATAAATATATTGTTGTTTGAATGGTGCAGATGTTTCCATTGGCTCTTGTGACTGGAAATACAATGGTCTTGAAACCATCTGAAAGAGTTCCAGGAGCGACCATGATCCTGATGGAGCTGGCTAAAGAGTCTGGTATTCCTGATGGAGCTGTTAATGTCATTCATGGGGCTCATGAAGGTGTGTACCCTGTTATAATTATAACAGTTATTTCAGTCAACAAGTATCATGCGTAAAGACAATCTATCTAAATCTGTAAAAACGTTTTTTTTAATTCATTAAAATTCTTCATTAACAGCTGTTATTTTATATTATTTATTATTGAGATTATTTTTGTGTTATTAATATTATATAGGTTAAAAATTTTGAGTTCAGAATGTTAATTATACTGTTATAATTATAACAGTTTTTTCAGTCAACAAGTTATCTATCATACTTAATGACAATCTATCTAAATCTATAAAAATGTTTTATTTTTTTTTATTTTTTAAATTCATTAAAATTCTTCATTATTAACTTTTATTTTATCTTATTTATTATTGAGATTGTTGTTCAGAATGCTAATTATGCTTAATAAATATATGTGCAGGTATAACATTTTAATATTTATTGATTGATAGATTAAATAAGGAATTCATTATTATCTGAGCTACATATTTTCGATTTGTGTCTTTTATTTTATATTATATTTGGTCTCCACTCTACCTTAAATTTATTTTCGATTTGGTTTCTTCTTGTTCGGTTTTGTCTGATGTGAGGCACCTCTGCTTTAGTAGCATTTTGCGCCAAATGCTCTAAACCCAATCCTTCCTAGTTCCATTTTCTTGGGTTACTTACTTTGTTTATAAAGCCTGACAGTTCCTTAATAGAGCTGAGATGCAGCTTTTTTTCGGGTGGATAGTGTCAAAAGTAGTAAATCCGGTAAGGACATCACACTCATATAAAATATGATACGCTGATTCCACATCCTTGTAACATTTCCTGCATATTGGTTCTCATTCTATGAAGGTGTTTTCTGAAAATGATATTGTCCACAATTGTCTGTATCTTCATTCTTGGGAACCTAAGGATTTCAGAAGCGATTCGTGCAGACGAACTGGTAATCATACTTTTAGCATGTTTATGTCCAGGAGAATTGTGCTAAACCTTTTTCATCTTATTTAAGGATACCTCCCTCGCACTATTCATGTTGATGCCACAGAAGGGTTCCATTCCTATTGGATTGAAAGAGACGTTACAAGTTCATCAGCTCTTTTGTTACCTTCAATTCTCATGTGTCCTGGCACCGAGATAAGAACAATCATATTCCTGGTTACCAGTTCTCTTAAAAGAGTTCTACATTCCATAGCATTTTTTGATTTAATTTGGAATGAATTAATAGCCAATAAGGCCTTTTGACTGTTGCTGAAAATAAGAATCCACTTACAATGGTAGCCTTTTTTTATTTTTATCTGTCGACAGTTGGTGATGTAGGGAACCGATTATCCGGAATGATCGGAACCATCGCTATTCCGGATTACTGATTTTTCCGGTTTTCTGAATTTTTTCCATTTTTTTTTGTTAAACCCAATTAAAAAAAAAAAATATTTGGAAATAATCTTAAAAAGAAAAAAAAAACGATGAAGTAATACACTAATGATTATTGCCAAATGATGTTATTGATCTTTCAAAAAAGAAAGAAAAATCCTAAAATCTTATTAGGAAAAACACATTCTTTTTAAAAAAAAATGGTTGGAAAATTTATCGAATTTCATTCCAGTTTTTTGGTTTCCCGGTTTTCTGATTTCCGGATAACGGGTTCTGTACTGTAGTAAGATTCTCATAACTCCTTTATCACATAATATTAAAGAGACATATTAATGTATCTGTGAAAATGTGTACGGACTAGTAATATCTTTTAGTCACTGGTTCACAGACCAGTGTCTAAATTTTCTAATTTCTACGGCTGCTTTGCTTCAGAAAATCTTATTTCATATTTGTGTTGATATTAGGATTCTTTTACTATAAACTGAAAAATATTTTAAGTTTAAACTTAATCGTAAATTCATTTTAAGAGTTTTTTTATGTATGTCAAACATATGTTTTACAAAAATTAAACGTTATTTTGTGCGGATCTAATATATTTATATGACATAAAAACTGTATTTGTTTTTCTTTTTCAGCTGTTACATTTATCTGTGATAATCCTGACATAAGAGCGATTTCATTTGTGGGATCAGATAGAGCAGTAAGTCATACATATTTCTTATTTTAAATCTTTGTGAAGTATTTTAATTTCTATGTTTTGCTGTTTAACTTTTCCCTCAAAATTTTAGTGAAACTTAATGATCTCTGTTTCTTTAGACTAATGTTGGAAGATCTTATATTTATCCATCCATTCATTGGGACTTCATTCATTTGAAATATAATTGGAGGAAATTGAAAATATATTCAGTTATCAATATTTAAACTTATAAAAAATTGAATTGTTTACTTTTAAATTCTCCATAATACCTTATTTTCAATAATACCTTAGGTTGGCAAAAATAATGATTTCTTTTTTTTAAAAAAATCGTAAACATAAAAAAAGTCAGATTTCTTATTAAAAAACATTTTTATGCCAAAAAGTGTAACAAAAAAAAAGTTCTTCACATTGAATTGCCCAATCGTTTCTTAGTCTAATGTTAGTCAACTTTTTTTTTCTGGACAGTACTTTATTACATTCAGAATTATGTGTTAGCATCTATTAGTTTATAATATTCATGCAACTATCAGTCATAATAAAGTATTTCTTAAAAATAATATCATCAAGTAGAATATTGTAAACTACTTTTGCTTGATGAGTTAATTAATTTTAAATATAATTACAATTTGTGAATTTAATGTGCTTAGTGAAAAGTATTTTTTGAAAATATTTTATGGATATGTTTATATGCATTATATATGCATTAAGAAAGTAGCCTAAGTTTAAGTCATAATGAAGAAAAAAATTACTTTAGCACCTATTTGTGTTATAAATAATATCTGTTAAGTTTATGGGTTAAAGTTTTAAATAAAAATGTAGTGTTTGTAATAAAATTTCATTCTGGAATTTTTTTTTTAGTTAAGAAAATGTTTGAAAATGAATTTCCCTTTTATTTATTTCTTATAATTAATGGTAAATATATTTGAAAAAAGACGCTCAATGGCAGAGTGGTAGCGCTTTGTGCTCTCATATCACAGGTCCAGGGTTCTATTCTTGGACCAGGCAAGGTTAACCTTTCATCCCTTCAGTGGGTTGGTGAAATGAGTACCAAGCATGCTTGTGGACTACGCACCACGTTCGGCTGACCACCCAACCGGAACATCTGCTCCTCAGAGCCCCAAGTCAAGAAAACTGAGAAGGGCTCATTAGGCCATGGCCCTCCATGGAATGTCGCACCTTTGAGTTTAATTTTATATGTAAAGAAAAAATCAAAAGTTTTTGGTTTTCAATATTTAAGTAGGAATATTTAATTTCCATAAAGTATTAATATTTATGTATGAATATTTAGTATATTTATGTCCCAAACTTTGCTCATGAAATGCAAAACTATTTTATTTTATTTTTATTTTTGACTATGCATTTACTTTGTGAATATTCCATCAAAACTAGTTAAACTGTTTTTATCTAATTAAACATTTTAATTCTAATGTTATTTAAAACTAACAATTTGTTTTTATGCTTTGTCTTGCGCATACAACATTGTTGATTTTTTTTTTCTTCAGGGAAAGTATATTTATGAAAGAGGATCTATGAATGGTAAACGAGTTCAGAGTAATATGGTAATTATAATTTCTTTTTTATTTAAATGAATTTTATTTCTGGAAGCTTAAAATGATTTTTATGTTTCTAGGGTGCCAAAAATCACGGAGTTATCATGCCTGATGCAAATAAAGAACATACCTTGAATCAAGTAAGAGTTTATTTTAATATTAAAAGAATAGTTTATTGTCATGAGATTATTTACCATTATAATTAGGAGTTTATTTTATCATTATTTCTTGTAATCATTTACAACTTATATTATCAATAAAAGATTATTTATCATTATCATTAGGAGTTTATTTTATCATTATCATTAGGTCAATATGGATTAAGAGATAATTTATTATAAATAAGATTTAATTTTATCATTAAGAGATTATTTATCATTTTCCTTATGAGTTTATTTCCTCATAAAAGGTTTTTTTTATCGTTCTGTTAAACCCTTTTCATTTCGTTATAAATATTTCATGAATTTAATGTTGTATTTTATTTATTAATTTCAAAGCGTTTTGTTTTTTTAAAATTTTATATCAAATACTTATTTATATGGCCTAACAATTTTTGTATTTAGTCTGGTATTTATGTTCATTCCTTTATTGTTTTAATTTTGTATTAATTTCTACTAAACTTCATTAAAAAATCTCTTGTACTTTTACTTTTTATAAATTCAAAATAATGTTAGTGTATTTTTTGCTTAGTTTGATGTTAAATGAATTAAAACTACAGACTTGATTACTTCTTTTGCTTTTTTCCTTACATATAAAGAGGTAGCAAAATTTATGCTTTAACATTTGGTTTAATATGATATTTACTGCCCAGACATTTTACTTGCATATTATATAAAAGAACTGATCGGCAAGTGTTTCATTTTAAAGTTTTAATAAAAATTTTATAGCATTTGCTTATTAATGGTTATTCAACTACTACTTTAAATGTTTTGAATGGTTAGAACTTATAGGTTAGAGTCTTTATTTTTCCTCTTTTTTGAACTATATTATGAATTTAACTTTTGTTTCATTTTTGCTCAGATTGAAATATTTAAAATTTCACCCAGTATTTATTCTTGTTTTTTTTAACTTATGTTCTTTATGATATTTAATTTTTGATAAGCTTAATATTTTATGAACTTAATGCAGCATTTATTTTTTACTTAACTTAATACTTGAATACTCAAGTCCTCAATGTTTACTAAATTTGATCGAGTGATCTTTAAGTTTACTATTTTATTAACTATTAATCTGGTATTTATTTGTTTAGACTTGGTATTTTATGTATTTTATCTTTTTTTTTCTCAGCTTGTTGGAGCCGCATTTGGTGCTGCAGGTCAAAGATGCATGGCCCTCTCAACTGCTGTGTTTGTAGGAGAATCTCAAAAATGGATACCCGAACTCGTAGAACGTGCCAAAACTTTAAAAGTCAATGCGGGTAATTAATGGTTTTCCACTTTGGTTTTATTGTAATAGATAGTGTAAACTTTACAAAGCTATACTCAAATGCAACAATAAGGATATTTACTCAGTTTTTGTTATTTTTAACTTTAAAAAAAAAAAATTATGAATTTTTACAGTTATTAAGTTTCTAATTAGGCTTAATATATGATTTTGTTGCTTTTTGAAGTATTTTATTTTTTAAAGGTTTATTGTAATTATCTTTGAAATAATTATTGAAGCTGATTTTAAAAATTTTTGGTTTGTCCATTAATTTTTTAAAAAAATTTATCAATTGCAATCCATATGTAACTAGAGATTTGTTAATTTTTGACTACAAATAGGAGTTAATCCACACTTTTAAAACTACTCTTAGGATTAAAAGTGCTTTAAAAGTTACTCGTATATAGGCGTTATACTTATTTTTTGTGCCACTTAAAAAAATAATAAGTTTTTTGTTTTGTAATTTTTTTGTTTGAAAACAAAAAACTTTTTAAACTAGAATGTATCCTCAATTGTCTCATATAGCAGTTTTTAAATTTTTTGATAACTAAAAAGATATTTTTTCTATTTTACCTGAAAGCAGTTAGACTGTAGATAATAAATGTTTTAATTTGAATCTTAAAATTTTTTCTTTAAATTTTTGATGTCGCTGACGAAAAAAAAAGACACAGTAACAGACAAATAGTAGGTAGCAATAATAGTTCCCAGTAGAACACTGAAGTAAAGCATCATTGGCTGTGGTCAGCAGGCAGGTGGTTGACTACTTGAATCAGTGTCTATAGGGGCAGAGGTTGCTCAGTTTCAGTCCTCGTTAAACTGTTCTACTTTGAAGTGCTCAAATTCGCTTCACAGATTGTCGGGCTCCCAAAGCTAGGGAGCCATCCCCATTGCAGAGGATCAAAATTGCGGTGGCATGTCTTTGGATCATCCCCAGGGAGTTTCCCAAACCGTCACCAATAGCCCATTGTGCAGCTCTAGTATGACATAAATAAAGTACCGACCAAACAACAAATATATAAAATGCTTTAGATTTTTTTCGTTGTAGCCATATTTTATTTGTCAGAAACTGTGTTTTTCTTGTTAACCAATTTCTTTTTGCATATTTTTTTTTGACAATAAAAGTCTTAATTTTATTTGACTCAAACTTTCAAGTTTACATTTGCTTTAAATAACAAACATTAATAAATGACCATTTATTATGTATCATAATTGAATATATTAAAGGGTAAATATTATTATTAGAGATTATCTGCTAAATATTCAAGCTGAAATCATAATGTAAAATTTTAAGGTACTGTTTTCTTGAAAATCAATTTATCATTATTTGATTCCCTATTTATTCTGTAATTTACTTTGCTACATGTTGATTTAAAAGTACGCCTGTTTAATTTGTTAAATTATGTTTGTAGGTCATGAACCCAATACCGATCTTGGACCTGTCATATCGCCTCAAGCAAAGCAAAGAATTTCAACTCTTGTTGAATCTGGTGTTAAAGAAGGTGCCAAGCTGATATTGGATGGACGCTCCGTCAAAGTGCCGGGATACGAAAAGGGCAATTTTGTTGGACCCACCATACTTACTGATGTGAAGGTGAATACATTTTAATTTTAAAATTCCATTAGACTGTCTAGAATATATGATGTCACTTATATTTAAAGAATCATAAATGGTTCTGAGTCTTGTATCAATAAACCCTACATTTAACTAAACTTAATAGTTAGAGAGGTCAGGAGACATTAAAACTAATTTCTGAATAATCTAATTTGTTTTGGAACCACCAAGACGCACAGTCAAACATAAATAAAGCATAATGAGTCCCTCTATAAGAATAAGTTGCTGTTATGGAAACTTTTTTTCTTTCAATATTCATCTCTCTGTGTGTGTATATATATCTATAAAGTTCAAAATGAAGATAAAATGAAGGAAAATTACAGATATATGAAAAGGGGGGGGGGAAGAAAAATAATAATAATAAAAAAAAAACAATTGGGAAAAAAAGAAAGAAAAAGGGATAAAATTTTTTTAAAAAATCCAGAAAATAAAAGATATAGTCTTTTCATCAGCCCACTCGATTATATCCGCAAAAACAGTGCTTTCTGATATTGTATCAATATAGCCAAAGCAAAATATATTAATATAATAGTGTGAGGAGCACTTAAAAATTTTTTTTACAAAAATTACAACAAATGAAATAGAACACAATAAGTTAAAATAACACGTAAAAACAGAAAATAAAATAAAAGGGAAAAACTATATAGCGAGTAACGAATTCAAATATATATATATATATATACATGCATACGTACAGTATATTCTCTATATCTCAAGTTGAAGGGATGCTAAAAAAGTTTGGAGATAATAAGTTCAGAACTAAATATGTTCTGAAAAGTAGAAAAATATATTCTAAAATATAAGTCATGAAACAAAAATAACTACTATTAAAAATCTATGCAATGATAATTGATTATAAGTCTAAATGCAACAATGATAATTTTATTTTTAGAAATAAGACAAAAATTATTATGCATTAAATAAAAAAGAATTGGTTTACAGTAGTTTTTAATTGTGATTTTTCCGAAAATGTTTTTTTTTTCATTTCGAAAAAAAGTTTCAAGGTTGAGACTTTTTTTTGGGGAGTCCACAACAAATTAAATTTTCTTAACAAAGGAGAATGTCTCATGTTATATGACTACAACAAAAACTTTGTTAATGTTCTAATTTCCAATTTTTTAATTACCCTTAACTCTGTTACTAATTTCTCGCTTTGATTAGTAAATTTTTACTAACTTATTTATTTGTTTAGAAATGGTTGAGATTTTTTCCTTCAAATTTGTGGAATTAAAACCCTATTTAGCAGAAAAATCACTGATCAGAAAGAACTGAAATTTCAATAGTATGGTTCCAAAACTTGGGAATTTTTTTTGAGTGTGGCATTGTCGCATAAATAGATGGTGCTGCAATTTAACAGAATTAAAAATATTGTCAATGGTAGGGAAGGAATGGATGGTGCTTTGATAGAAAGAAAATTTTGTTGCACTTATAGAATTCAGTAATTGGGAAAATGAACTCAACTGCAAACACTTTCTCATAAACATAGCGTAATGAAAATGTGAAGTCGCCAAGCTCTTCTACCCACTTTGCTACGCATGCAGCATAATCTTTAGTGAGATTTTACATGTTTTTCTTAACTATGCTGAAAAAAAATTTCATAACATTTGGCTCGTATGGTTGAAATTTCAGTTCTTTTAGGTCAATGATTCTTTTGTCACCAGGTTTTAATTTCAAAAAATTTCAAAAACTTTGCCTGTTGTTAAATTAAAATCATTAGATAAAATACTTTTACGAACTTTGATTGTTAATTTTCATACAAGCTAAATGCACAGAAATTTATTAAATTGTTTGGAAAAATATAATTTATGTTTTACTATCAAATGTTTCATTTCGTAATTGTCTCTGTTAATGCATAACTCTTTAGATTGATGCTGCTTAAAACTAACATCTCATTATTTCATTAATACCAAAATGATAAAGGTTTATCTTTTTTTATATTTTCAGCCTAACATGACTTGTTACAAGGAAGAAATATTTGGTCCTGTTTTAGTTATACTCTCCACTGATACCATTGATGATGCCATCAGTCTAATCAATTCTAATCCTTATGGGAATGGTACTGCAATCTTTACAACCAATGGTGCCACTGCAAGGAAATTCACTCTTGACATTGATGTTGGTCAGGTATACAATTATCTTGATTATTAATATTCATATTTCTAAACATAATCTAAATACGTTTTTAAGTATAATCAAAAGCATGACCTAATGTATTTCCTTATTTAATTCACAAAATTGCATTAGACTCAGATTAATTGCATTACCTTGACTATGTAGCATTGTTTTTATATTGGCACATCTGTCAACTCTGTGTTTGCATCAACAGTTGAAAGGATCATAATGTTTGAGCCATGAGCATCCCTATGCAAATTTTGACAGTTGTAAATACATATTTTGTGAAAAAGAAGGGCTCGAAGAACATACAGGGTATTTCAAAATTCTGGAACACTTTTCATGTTTCTAACTATTTATAAAAATCTAATGACGGTGTCGCAGTTTTCCATTGTTTTTGGTGCATTTTTATTGTTTGTAAAACCACGTGGTATGATCCAGTTTTCCCAATTTAATTATCATATTGATTTGGTTGTCATCAGCATAAAATTGATGTAAGGCATAAAGGTATTGTTTTCTTATAAATAATTTTGTATCCTGAATTTAAAGGTATTTATACTGTTATTCTTACATAAATTTTTTTAAAAAAAATAAGAGTTTAATAGGATTGTTATTATTATAAGAAAACATATTTCTATGTTACATTTTAAAATAAAGTTCTTTAAATCGGTGTCCGATCTCATTAAACATTTTACAATTGTTATTTTTTGGTGCAAATTACATTAATATACTGATATGAATTACTGTTAAAGAGATTTGTTTAATGATGTAGAATTTAAACCCTTCCTTCTCGCTCCCATGAAAATGAGGGGTTGAGGTTTCGCCCTCTATTTCTCGCTCCCGTGATTTTCTCGGACTGGAGCGTTCAGCAGTAAAGCGCCAATAAGAGTAAAACTAATTCATTTCTTTTTCCTGAAAAATATTTTATTTCTCATTTTACACACCAGATGGCAGTACAAGGATATTTTTAAGGTAATTGTAGATAGTTCGTTTATTTTAAACTAGATGTCAGCACTAATCAAATACGTGTATAAAAAGAATAGGCACTTTTATGATCGTTTTCTTGAAAATTAACCGATCATTGAGGGGTTAACTTTTAGCTTCATGCATATAGTGATGAGTGCAAACATTGTTTTTAAAATATATCCACCTGTTTGATATCTGTACTGTTATTATATTTTTGATTTTGTGCTTTTTGTAAATAGTGTCATCACTTTTTTAAAATATATTTTTTATTATTCTTCCTATTTTGTACTGTTTTTATTTTACTTGAAACAATCCGTTTAGCATCATAAATTTATATTTGAAGGTTGGTGTTAATGTTCCAATTCCCGTGCCATTGCCGATGTTCTCTTTCACTGGATCGAGAGGCTCTTTTCTAGGAGATGCCAACTTTTATGGAAAAGCGGTATGAATGCTCACTTTATATTTAAAGTCTCTGCTGCCATTAATCTCAAACATTTGAAATAATGAGTGATTTTTTTTGTTAATAAATCTAATAGTTAAAGTATATCAATAAATTATCGCAAAATATAGCATCCATAGAATCGCAAAACGGATTTTGACGTATTAAAAAACTGTATTGTGCATTTGAAATTACTTAATGTAACACTATGAAACAGTATTAATTTTGTGCTACATTAACTACTATAAATAATTTCGTTGATTGTATTATTACAAAATGATAAAGTATAAAGACATAAGTGATAAATAAGAACATCTCTGACTTTAACAAATATTTATGGCCTGTAGGTTTTAAATTTTAGGAGGATTTTTTAAAATTGAATGGAATAAATTTTAAAAATATTTGGATGTGATAAATTAAATTTTAAAATAACATTAAAATGATTACTTTTTCTTGATTTATCTTCATTGACAAGTATTGACTAAATGTAAGCAAGGCAACCATTGTTTGCAGAGAGGGGGTTACCAACCAAACAGAAGCAATGTTGTTCCGAACAAACAACAGAACAGAATTATGGGAGCCCTTACTCCCTCCATCTTGGATTTTAAATTACATGTGTAGTTTTCGTTTTTTTTTAATTTTTTTATTTTTATTTATTTAACATACTTTTGATGATTATGCAACTGCAGAATACTTTTTACAAAAAGGATAGAAAATAGAGGGGTTGATTTATTAGCTTAGGAGAAATATCCGGGTAGCAGAGAACCATAAATTTTGCATCAAAAATGCATATATTTCACCTTTAAATTTTGCCAAGCATTCGTAAAATTTACTTAAAACTAAATCGTCAAATTATAGCAAAAATGGTTACCCAAAAAACATAGAATTTACATGAAATTTTACGTAAACAAATTTATTTCCTTTATGATTATTTTACCAGCTATTTTTTGCTTGTTAAGAATGAGTACGTTATTTTTACATAGTATTTGCGTGAACAAGATGTCAAAATTTACATAAGTTGAAACACCAAATCATAGCAAAAAACGATTATCCATAAACATAAAATTTGCGTCAATAAATTCGAACCGAAGTTTACCGAACTTTAAATAGTAAATTTGATTTGTCAATAATACGCTAAATACACAGAATCATTTTTACTAAATCTAAGTAGTAAATATCGTCAATCTTTCGTAAACTATATGAAAGCAATCTTACAGCAATCTTGGTAAAATCCATTTCATTAATATTACGTAAAATATAACGAAGCTTTTTTTACTAGAAGGGTAGATGGTAAAATTCATTTCGTTAATATTATGTAAAATATACCGAAACTTTTTTTACTAGAAGTGTAGTTGGTAAAATCCATTTCGTTAATCTTACGTAAAATATACCGAAGCTTTTTTTACTAGAAGGGTAGTTGGTAAAATCCATTTTGTTAATATTACGTAAAATATACCAAAGCTTTTTTTACTAGAAGGGTAGATGGTAAAATCCATTTCATTAATATTATGTAAAATATACCGAAGCTTTTTTACTAGATATCTCAAAGGTAATATCATTTTGTTAATATTACGTAAAATATACCGAAGCTTTTTTTACTAGAAGGGTAGTTGGTAAAATCAATTTCGTTAATATTACGTAAAATATACCGAAGTTTTTTACTAGATGTCTCAATGGTAATATCATTTCGTTAATATTACGTAAAATATACCGAAGCTTTTTTACTAAATGTCTCAAAGGTTATATTATTTCGTTAATATTACGTAAAATATACCGAAGCTTTTTTACTAGATATCTCAAAGGTAATATTATTTCGTAATTATTACGTAAAATTTATGTATAAAGCGTATTTACTTTACCAATTACCCAAAAGTTAATGTTTAATTTATGTATCATACATGGGTAGCACTTGATAATTTTTAGAACTTAAAATTTTTCCTCATAATTTTAAAGCAATAAAATGATTGTGATGTTGATTTTGAGTCAGACAGTTAAAATTATGCATTTGCCAGTTTTAAGATTTTTTTAAAATTTAATTTAATTGCAATTCAAACTGATGAACTGATTTGGACGATGCTAGGAAATTCTTTTGCCGTAAATTGCACAAAATCAAACATATCAAAAATCTAAAAGCAGACAACTATTTACTATTTAACTACTTTCCAAAAACCGTTTATTACAGTATTATATTGGTGTAATTTTGTCAGAAAAAAAAAATGAACAGAGAATCCGTAATGCTGCTTGCTTCATATATCTTAATTCTGATTCGGCCTTGTATTTCTCATGTATCAAAAGATAATGCTAAATAAAGTGAATATCTGTCACCAAATTATTTGAGAAAATGAATTTATGAGAATTAAAAATATATTAAGAATTGTGATCCTTCAGCAGTTGAGTTCGCTCAGGTGGAGAGAGACCTTTTAAGCCTTGTTGTGTTGATTTTTGCTTCAAAATTATCTATCATTTTTATCTATCAAAATTATCATCATTCAAAATTATCTATCATTTTATCTATCAAAATTATCATCATTCAAAATTATCTATCATTTTTATCTATCAAAATTATCATCATTCAAAATTATCTATCATTTTATCTATCAAAAATATCATCATTCAAAATTATCTATCATTATTGCTATTTTTTTCCTGCCAGTATATATAGTTATGAATTAAAATATTTTTTCTATTCTATCAATGATTTTGAATAATGTATGTTTATATTTGAATCTGCTTTCCTTTTTAGGGTATCAATTTTTACACACAGCTCAAAACAGTGACTCAGTTATGGCGTGAGCAAGATGCTTCACATTCCAGAGCAGCTACTTCTATGCCAGTTATGAAATGAAATGAAACGTTTGAGAATAATTAAATGACTGTCTTCCCTATATTTCTTGTTACGTCATTGTTAAAATGCAAATAAATATTTTTTATTTTCTGATATTTTTGAGCTGATTCCCCCCCCCCTAATATGAGCATATTTGTTACTTAGAAATTAAGGCAAGAATTTTGAGACTCTGAAATATTAAAATCCTTACTTTTAAGTATTTTTTGGAAGTTTGAAAAAGATTTTATCATATCTTAGAGAAAAAAAAATTCTATAATGTTAAAAAGTGTTATTATAATTAATGTCACCTGTAAAAGAAAATTAGAGCACATTTGTGATTCATAAAATTTATTTTATCACGAAGTTGCATAACACAAGTTTACAAGCTACAAAAAGTATACAAGTATAGTAGGTTACAATAAAATCAAAGTAATTTAAATTCGAAGCGAAGAAATTGATAAGGAATAATGCTTTTAAACTGTAACAAGAATTCAACAATTTGTGAAGCATATCATGCTTTTAAAATTTCTGAATTACATTTACCTTTCGTCCTAGCTGAACATAAGTTTCGCAATGTAAACAAAGCAGTTTAGATCTGTTATGTGAGACTTTAATACATAAATAACATTTGCATACAATTAGCATAACAAAAGTATTTTTGATTAGCATGAAAGAGATTTTATCATCTCAAGACAAATATCCTATAAGATAATATTATTGACCAAGAATATAATACACATCATAAAAATTTTATAATATTATTTTTTAAACAAAAAACCATGCAATCAGCATAAGAAAGCATTTAAAATATGTTGTAAGTAGATTGAACTTCTACAGATTTTTTAGTTCAGACTGCACGATTTTTTCCCGTTAAGCCTAATTTTCATTTAAAAATTCAAGTAAAATCCTTACCCTAATTTCCAACTCCATAGGAAAAAAAAAAAAAATAAAGTATAAAGNAAAAAAAAAAAAAAAAACAGCGCTGTGATTTACAATTGTCTCTAAAGAACTGATGTACTCCGGATCAAATTTAAAGAACAAAATAATAATAATGCTGGAACCGTAACGCATATTGAAGTGTGTCCTTATTCGAAATTATAACGAACTTCTACCGCCAATTTAGTGTTGTCTAAAAATTAAACGAAAACGTTCTAAGTCAAGATCGTTTGACCATGGGTCGCTGGTAAGACTTGTTTCATATATGATACTGTGGGTCATGAAGGGAGAATCTCGTCACGTGAACGGGTTAAAATAACATTTAGATGTAGACAAAAATAATATTAATAAAGTGTTACATAATCTTTTATTTTTGTAAGAATAAAAGGGAGGAAGATTAGAATAAATGACGCCATGCGTGCATTGCTGCCACCCGACAATATCATTACGAGATCTTTGTTTTCTAGGTTCTCTTCTTTTTCCTGCTTCTCTTCTTTCTCTAGGTTTTCTTCTTTTTTTAGTCTCTCTTCTATTTCCAGGTTCTCTTCTCCATACAGCCCAGAGCAATTTGTGAATGGCTCCTCTTTTATTATCCGGCACATGGTATTACTTTCTTTACCTTTCAAAACACTGTTAAGCTCATCAATAAAGCTCCGTGCCTCCTGATTACATTTCAATTCAACTAATGTTGATGTGCACATTTTCAACCATTCAAAAGCGCTGAAAGTAGGAAAAATATCAAGTAGTCAAATACATTTTAAATTGAAACAAAGACACTCTTTTTTTTCTTAATTTTTTGTACACAATTATTATTTTCAAGACACATTAATAAGCAGCTGATAAGCTATTTCTTTGTTTAATGTTTTTTTTTCCTTCTTAATAACTTATAAAAGTAGCAGTTAGGGTTATATCTACGTGACTATTTGTGTATGAACCTTATTTTAAGTAATTAGCTCTTATTTTTAGAAATCAGAAGTTTTCCACCTGATTCTACATAGTCCAGTCACATTAGTGTGACCAACTGTCAAAAACCAGAATAAAAACTTTTCGCAAAGCGATGGCTGCGAAATGAGCGGAAAGAGAGTTAATTAGGTTCTCGGAGGTCTTTAACATGTCTAGATCCATGCCGACTCTAGTCAATAACTCCTTTAGGATCCATGGTGGCTGGAGCCTTCGCCTTCCAATGTGGTGAACAATGTTCGAATTCCAGCGATTGCTGGTCGATTCGAATTTTGCACTTGGCTCGCATCAACCACAGTGCTGACGTAAAATACTCTTAGCGGTAGACGGATCATGGGGTAGAGTCCCCTTGCCATCAGGCTAATCATGGGAGGTTGTGATGGTTTTTCTCTCCATGTAACGCAAATGCGGGTTAGTTCTTCAAAAAGTCCTTCATGAAGACATATTTCTCCCAATACTTGATCCAGGAGTTCCCTCGTCTTCTGGATTAGGTTCACAATTGCATGGCTACAGAATTGAACATTGGTAGTCGTAAACCCAAAATTGGGTCGACTGTTTATTGACGGTTATAAAATACCTCCTAAAAGAGAGAAGGCCTAAGCACGGGTTACCATAAGGAAGAAATTTGATCCTTTAGATGTCCAAAAGTAATGACATCTTTCGAATTATCCACTACTGCGCAGCTTAGTAGCCCGAACGCAAAGGTATCTTTCTTATTTAGCTCCACTACACAGTTTATGTTTTGTTACTTTGAACTAATAAATTGATCCGTGATGAGGCCTTCTCTCCTCTAGGAGATGTTGCACCTTGAAATTTGTGCGAAATCTCAGTTCTTTTCTACTTTAATGTCAGTTTTCAGGTCACGCTAAATGTACACCACACAGATCTTTATTTTATTAGGTAGTAGTCATTCATGTGTATTCACAGTTGGTTTGTACTAGTAGCCTTTTTGCGAAGAATTTTTAATGCTCTTTGGCCTTCAATACAAAAGGGCCCTGAAAGTATTTATGTTAGTGTGAACGTAGCAAAACATAAAATAACAGTCAGTGTCATGATTAACTTGTTTCACAAAAAAGCATTGCAACTTGTAAATTTATGTGTTTTTCTCAAAGTTTCAGAGGATCTGGAGTTTTGACTCCCAAAACTCTGACTGAAAATTTTTTTTATCTTAACGCTAAAAATTGTGACATCGATTTTATACTAAAAGAGCTGTTCTGAAATGTTTCCTTACACTACTTGGAGCAAAATACCTTATTTTGATATTCAGTAACCCTAAAAGGTATTTAAAATTACCGTAGCATAAGATAAACGTAAGAGTCAGTAAAGTTATTTTCATGATACTTTCGTAAAATAAAATATCAAACGTAAGCGTTAACCGAATATTTTTTTTTTTTTTTTGTATCTGAACACCAAAAGTGGGTGCAACTGTTTCCACTTAAGTGGTGTTCTGTGACAGAACACAAGAATAGTTCCTTGCGATGTGAAACACCTAGAATGTTCTTGTACACTACCTAAAGTAAAGTTTCTCGCCACCAACCACCATGTTTGTTACTTAGCAACCTAATATTTATTATTACAGTGAAATATGATTCATTTAAGAATCAGTTAAGCAATTTTTACGTGACAATTTAAATAAGAATCAATAATTTAGGTAGCATACATGCACTAATTCTTAAATAAAATAAGAAATTTTGCATCCTTATCGATTATAATAATTACAGACGAAACCAAAACACGCCAACATTGGAGTTTACGGAAGCGAAAATATTCGAGATACTGTGAGGACAGAGATGGGCATTTGTTATTCAGAATAATGAATGAAGAATAATTATTCAAAATATGAATAATGAATAAAGATTTATTCATTAGTCAGAAATATTTTGAATAAAGAATAAATCATTCATTATTCTTTATTCAGTATCCTTTATTCATTAGTCAAGAATAACTGAATAATTTCACTGATCAACAAAAATGGGCACGGAATACTCTAATTGACTACGATTATGACAACTGCGTATAAAACGTTAATCCTTTTCAAGTATATTTATATAATGTTTGAGGAAATTAACTTTTGTCTAACATAATGCATACTTTTGAGAAATGGTTACATGGCAAAAAAGCGTTTAATTTTTTAAGTTAAAATTTTATTTAAGAATTTAAAATAAGACTATCGTTTGTTTTCAAAAACTATAAGAAATTGTGTTTTATAGATTTTAGAACAAAATTTTAAAATGAACTTAAGTAACTAAACTGTTATAAACCTACTTTTTATCACAACTAAGTATGTTACGCTGGAGTAATTTAAAGTTAAATAAAAATAAATATTCATACTTGTCTTAGTTTTATAGTTAAATTCCTAAAATAAGACGTTTAAGAGCAAACAATGTTTTGCATCTCGTTATAAACAAAGACATATTGATTGCATTTTTCTCTGGTTATTCAAAATTTTATTCAGAAAAATTAGTCATGACTAATGAGTTTATTCATCAATCATTATTCAAACATTTTTATACATTTGCATAATGAATGATGAATAATGACTAAATTTTCATATGAATAATCATTCAGAATAAATTTATTCTGAATAAATTTAGTCATGAATAAAATTTTCGTGAATGATGCCCATCACTGTGTGAGGATGAGAAAGTGAGTGATCCGGGGGTAAACTCTTTCCATTTTTGGCATTTAGAGCTTTAATACACCCTTAATATTGTATATAAAATCTCGATTTAGAAAAAAAGTGATATTTCGAGTAACTTTTAAGGTTGTTTAACATCAAACTCGGAAAAATATTATACCACAGCATTTACAGTGTAGCACAGAGAGGGTATTAAGACGAATTCGAATTAAACTTAACTGTGCAAAAGCGAATTATGCATTGTAGAACTATTTACAGAGATTTAATTACGATACAAATATCCTTGTTACACAACTAAAACATACATATACAGGGGGTTACAAATGTCATGGTACCAGAGTTGGGTGACGATTACAGTAATCTATAACAGCTGTAATTAATTACAGATAATTACTGTTATGTAATCAATTACTTGTAATCACGAGTACAGGTAATTTTGATTACAAGTTATAATAATTTCTGATTATCTCATAGTCGGGCAAAAGTGTAATCGATCTTATTTTTCGATTACAGTAATCAATTTTTTGTAATAGTGATTACAAATTTTGATTACAACTACACTCGTGCTTGTAATAATCAATTACAATAATCAACTACGTGTAATCATTATTAAAAACTTTTATAATTTCGATTACAACTGCAATCGTAATTACATAACCATAATTAATCAGGCAAAGGACTTTTATTTCTTGAAAAATTGAACAAAACGTCAAGTACTGAAAGTGTTACTTCCATTATTGTAGGGTAGTATGTACATACAATGTATGTCCATGTTTGTATATGCATGCATAGACTTGCTGCTTTTGTACGAACATCTATGCATTGTATGCACAATGTATGCCTCATGCATGCATGTTCAATATATTTGTATCCTATTCATGTATGTACAGTGTATGAATGCCCCATATATGCATGCTTACTGAAATTATGTCCCATGCATGCATGTACATATGCACGATATATGTATGTTCAATGTATGCATCTACATATGCGTAATATATTTGTGTACAATTGTACGTACAATGAACGCACATATGTCTTACATATGCGCATAAATACTGCGGAAGAACACAGACTATAACTTACCTTTTCGTTAAATGCAAAAAATTCTCAACACTCCATGGTAACTGTGTTAATAAACAGGGAGCCATGGAGTCGTGGTGTAAAACAAAAATTTACAATTAAATTTCTTATTAAAAGAACATTGGAAGAACAGATGGCACCAGACGATTTCATGGATCCCCTATGCAAGTTACCATAGCTCTTTAGCTTGCCTCCTTCTGCCATACTCCACAGCCATTTTTCCTATTTTAATAATTTAAGCTACTCACCTTTTACTTTAGGACGATGCCGTTTTTTCCAGTTATAGGCTTCACTTGCCGATTTTAGCTATTCTTTACTTTTTAGCTACTTACATTTTAACGTTTCTTAATTTAGCTATTAATACTTGCATAGTGGACTGATCGTTAAGACACGGTTCCCAGCAGATCACCGAAGTCAAGCATCACTGGCTGCGATCAGTGTGCGGGTGGGTGACCACTTGGATCAGTCTGCGTAGGGACTGAGAGTTTGCGGTATTGGTCCTCGTTAAACTGTGCTACCGTGAAGTGCTCGACTTCACGTGCAGGTCGTTGGGCTACCGAAGCGTGGGTGCCATCCCCTCTGCAGAGGATCAAAATTGTGATGGCATGTCTTCGGATCATCCTCAGGGATGTTTCCCAGACCATCGCCAATAGCCCATTATGCAGCTCTAGTACGACGTAAATGAACTACAACTACAACAACTATTAAATTTAACATTTAGCTCAATCGTAATCATTGTCACCTACCTTTTAACTGCCTTTGGTTCTTATCATTTACCAATTTTTAGAGCTGTTTTAAAATTTGCGCTTGGTAACTCTTTGGATATTTGGTTTTACCAAGGTCGCTTGCTTGGTATTAGCTGTAAACTCACGTTTCAACATTACTTGTATGGATATTGACGTTATATTGATTTTAATTGATTTTGAGCTTGATGCAAAATTTTTGTGTTTTCGGCTCACTATAATGAGACGCTCCTTCGGCTCATGAATTGCAAGATGGGCGTATATACATTCAACATGTATATATAATACTATGCGTACGCACATACAATCGAGATGCATGTTTTGTACATATGTACGGTGCGTCAAAAAAAACAGACCACCCTGAATAACTTTTGATCTAATGATCGTATCTTCACGTTCCGGGCTCAATCTTAATGGTTTAAGGAGGGTGCCCAAAAATACACTAATTAATTGGTTCAGACGATATTTTATGTTACGAAATCAGACACAAAAAGCGTACTTTCTCTGAATAAACATTCCTTTTTTTTCGACCGATTTGGATTTTTGACCCATAAAATATGATCCCCATAGTTTGATCAGGAAAGCGATCCAAAGTTTTGACCCCCTAATGTCAATTTTGTTCACTGAAATTTATTTTTTGCATGGAATTATATCCTTGAATAAACGAATTTTATAATTGTGTGAAAAGATTGTTCAATTCGCTTGAGAAGTTTTCGAAATATTCGCTAAATACGCAAAAAATAAAACTAGCATTAGCGAAACCAAACTTTGGATCACACTCCTGATCAAATTATGGGAACCATATTTCCCAGATTGCTGATACCTCTATATTTTAGGGGTCAGAAATCCGAATTCATCAAAGAAAAAAAAAAGTGTTTATTTATAAAAAGTACGTAAGTTCAGAAAAAGTACACAACAACTCGTAATCGATTGTAAAGAATTACAGACGTATCTGAAGCACGCGAACGCTGGATTTTTCGGAAGTGAAAAAATTCATTGTATAGGGTGTGAAGATGTGTGATCTTAGTTTAAACTCATCACAATTCAGGTATTTAGAGCTTTCAACAATGCCGTGGTTAACTTAAGAAGTGCTCTTTCATATAATTTTAGGGGTGATTCAAGATCAAATTCCGAGAGATATTATACCTAAACCCTTGAAACACCCTATTTTAGATTAAATTTTCCTCCTCTCCCATTCTTTATATTTTGGTATTCAAAAATGGCTTTGGTATTTATTCGGCTGGATTCGAACTCCCGTTCTCACAAACGGAGGTCCAATGCCCTCCCAACCAGGCTATCCCAACCTAATTTAACTGCTAGTTAGCACAAATTAATTATCGTATTTGCGGTTAAACTTTTGAACCATTAACTCTGGCATTTAATTTGTAAAAATCCCATCATCAAAACAAAAAAAAAGTTATTCAGGGTAAAATCTTTCTTTTTCTCTTTCTGTAGATGTACCAAGCCAAGCACCAAGGTTTTTACCAAGCAGAGTAAATAACAATAACATACCAACAGCTGTGGAACATTATCATGCCAGAACCTTTTTCATCTTGAAAGATTTTATATTGAGCATCAGCAAATTTTGATTTACAATATTCAAGATCACTTTTGGTTTTTGGCCAACAGTCTATATTGTTCAAGTAAACTGAAACAAATTTAGTATTAAGATCTAAAGTGATTCTTCAAAATATTTCTTTAGGTCATATTGTTAAAAAAAAGATTTCTTTCATTAATCATATTGCAACAATGAAAATAAAAGATATATTTTGTGACCGCAGATTAAGCATATACTTTTTTAAATAATATATGTAATTTATCAAATATTAATATAAATTACATTATATTATAAAAAATAGAAAATTACAGGAAAAAAATTTAGAAACGGAAATCGTGCTAGAAAACGGAGTCGCACAGAGTACTTTATGGATGGTAGACCATGTGAGGCTAAGCACAGAATGCGCTAGGGATTAAAATTCATCGTAAGACTTCCCGGTTACTACTTCCGATTTATTTTTACGCCTGCCTGAGTGTGGAAAAGCATGCTATTCAATATTATTATACTTGTAGTGATCACAGCATTACACGTTCCACTAATTTAACTTTCATCATCATCAGCATTGGCACGACAGCCCTTTGTGAGCCTGGGCCTTCCTCAGAAGTTTTTCCCATTCTGCCCTTCTTTCAGCAATTGTTTTCCAGTTCTTTACTTTTAGGATGGCAAAATCCTCATCCACACAGTCCTTCCATCTCTTTTTGGGCCTTCCTCTTGGCCTTTTATTGGAGGGGGTTGCATTAGAGACTCTCAATGCTGTTCGTTCTGGGCACATCCTCACTACAATTTTAACTTTCAACGTAGCAAATTAATGGAATCAGAAGTCCTCGCAAACATGCTATGACGATGCCCAAACAATAACAATTGACGATATTTTACTCAAAGCCAAATAAGGGATAACACTCAAAGCATAGCAAACCTTATACCTAATTTATGTTGTGATATTAATTTTCTTAAGTTAATTTTTGGCTCATGACCTGTTAGAATTTATAAATTACAAAAAAACTCTTGTAATTTAAAATATATATATTTTTTTAAATATAGTAAAATTTCGCATAAATTTGATAGAAAAATCGCAATAATAAAACTTCTAAGAATATTAAGCCTGTTCACACTTCGCTTCGTGAGCATAACACAAGCGGAGAGATACACCGGAAGTTTTCGAAACTACTTCCAGTTTTAGGAAGTTTGTTATTGTTTACATTCAGTCAACCATCCTAGGTACATCATAAAATCACGTGAACTGGAATGAAAATGATTTTATTCTCTTTTTGCAGCCTTTTTGCATAGGATTATCATTATCCTATTCATACTGTTCTCCATATAATCCAGTAAATCTTCGACTAGAAAGTAGCCGTTACTTTTCATAGTATTTCCGAATTCCATCAATCCAAACCCTCCATATACCCATATATTTTTGAATTTTTATAAAAAAATTATACCATAAAAATCTGCGGATGAAAAAAATTAACATAATCTGACAAATCGTTATCGAGTCAAAGTGGAGCAAAATTCAAAATTGTATTGGCATAATTTTGTTCTGAAAAATCAACAGAAATTTTAAAATACTGCATGCTATACTTTTTTAGATTCCGGTGGGGTGAAGATCCAATTCGCAATCGCAACACTCGAATACGCCATCTGGGGAGAAGATCGGTTTCGCGTTAGGTTGTCAAAATTATATTTTAAAATTTAAGGGATGTTTAAATTAAGCACTATGTTCAGTGTAGTTTTGAGTTCCACAAATTTTCCAAGATTAACGTTTTTCAATTGGTTTGAGAAACAAGACAGAAATTAAAGTACTTCCCTCTCCTTTGGTTATCCACACGCTACAGTGAAGGGTTCTGATATGCGCCACCTGTAGTCAATTCCAAGCGCCAATATTTCACAGGCCTCAAAAGATACTGTTAATTAGCATAAATATCCAGCATTTGTTTATTCGTGAAAATTTATTAAAAAAAATTTAAATTTTTTTCTAGGATTTCCACTCTTTGGAGAGATGAGTTTGTTCGAAAAGAGAGAGGCCACTTATGAGTATTTAAATACTGTCTACCTTTGTTGAGTTCTGTCCCATCTGTGCATAGATCTTCAAATATTTTCAGTTTGGCTCCAGTATCCTCATTGAAGTCTCCAAATTCTCTAATATGCGTGCAGTCTCTCATTAAATCTCCCACGCATTTCGCCCCTTTTAGTTTTTTCCTACAACAGAATGTTAATTTTAGCGTGAAATGTAACCGACCCAAGCCAACGAGAAGGGACACAAGAACATAGATGACGCAATTTTGTCAAACAGATAAAAAAAGCTCTTTGAGCGAAGTAAAATATTTTTAAAAAATGACAATAACAGTCAGTGTTTATGTTCCTGAAACTACAAATATGCATTTTCAATAACAAAAGAGAAATAAGTAAAACAAATAAAATATAAAAAAAGAGGATAAGGAGAAAGCACAGGAATAACATTTTGTGATAAATTTAAGCAAGAGATCAACTTATTGACAATTCATCTAACTAAAGTATTGACCTTGATTTTGTGCCCTAACTATCTGAAAATCAAACAGAACGAAATATGTATATGGTAAAATCTACGTAGACCATTCATTGAGAAAGGTAGATACTAGAAAATGAAGGGCCAATAATATAAAATATCCAATAATTGATATATTCAGTTGCTGTTAATCAAGAATGCCTTTAAGAAGACGAAGAAGCCATTATCAAGAGCTCATTAATTTTGAATGTGGTCGTGTATTAGGGCAGAGAGAAGGTGAATTTTCTCCTTCGTGATATTGCAGAAATACTAGGGTGAATAACCACTGTGCATGATTTTATAGCAGTCGTAGAACAGCAGATTCAAATTTGAGTTGACGACTACAATGTTCAACTGCATAGAATTGTAATTTTGAACCCAATCCAGAAGACAAGGGAACTCCTGGATCAAGTATTGGGAGAAATTTGCCTTTGTGGTGGACTTTTTGATAGAACTAACCCACATTTGCATTACATGGAGAGGAAAACCACGGAATCATCCCACGGTTAGCCTTATGGCAAGGGTACTCTAATACATGAACTGTCAATCACTGTGGATATTTTACGTCCCCACTGAAGTCAGTGCGAACCGGGGTGCGGAATACGTATCGAGCAATCATCGCTGGAATTCGAACCCGGTTCGCCTCACTGGAGGGCGAACGCTCTATTCCTTGAGTCACCACGGCTGCTGGTAGCAGCGGTTAAGGTGAGAGATATCAGGGAGATACTGCTTCAATAAGACCGGATTCTGAGCTGCAACGTGGTACTACTCAAAGGAAAATTCGCCTTGTTCGGAGCAGGGCTGTGGCGCACCGTGCTGCGTCTGCAAAGTCGGTTCGGCCTTGGTTCCTGTGATAGTCGTATATTGGTTAGAAGGAGGCCTGGAGAACGCCTACTTCCGATCAGTATCCAGCCTAGACACACTGGATCTATATCTGGAGCTATGGTCAGGGGCGCAATTTCCTATGACAATAGGAGCAATCTCGTAGTTATTCCCCGCACCTTTACTGCACATTTGTTCGTCAACCTGGTGATTCAATCTGTTTCGTTGTCCTTCATGAACACGACAAACTTTCGAAGAAAAATTTCTCAATAATTTTAATTTTTAGTATCAACAAACTTGCAACTGATAACTTCCGATTTCGGGATCGCATACTGTTACAGATNTCATTCATGAGCAGCATTCAAAGGGGCATTTTGAAACAGAATAATGCTCACCCCCATATTGCTGTTGTAACTGAACATGCTCCACAGGATGTCGACACGTTGCCTTGGCCTACTAGATCGCCAGATCTTTCACCAATCGAGCACGTATGAAACATCGTTGGACGCCAACTTCAGTGTCATCCAAAATCAGTATTAACTATCCCCGTTAGCCATTGTTTTAAATTTTGATATAAACGATTCAGTTTTCAGGTATCTTGATGATAACAACAGTGATATTTTCTATCTTATTATTTAGAAAAGTAAATTTAAGTAAATTACATTTACTTTAATAATTAATTATTATTCGCGCAAGTTTCTTAATGTCAGATGAGCATAAGCAAGTAAAATAAACGAGAGTAGATTTTGTAACTCGTGATCGCAACTCTCGAGTGCGCCCTCCAGCGGATAGGTTATTTCAGGCTTTTATTTATTAAGTTTCTATTTAGTTCTATCAGAAACATTGGCAGATTCGGACGCCAATTTTTTAGCAGCAAATAAGAAGGGAAATTTCCCTAAGGAAAAGGCAGAAGAACTCGAAAAAACTCTCCAGAACACTGATGAATCTTGTAGAAACAGAACGCGCCAAACTTTCGAAGAAAAATTTCTCAATAATTTTTAATTTCTAGTATCAACAAACTTGCAACTGATAACTTCCGATTTCGGGATCGCATACTGTTACAGATGTGTGTATTAAGGTAAAATACATTTTTTTTTGTCCTCAATTCATTACAAATTAAAGTGAAGGCAATTTTTTTTATTTTATTCCAATGAATAAATATGATTTCAGAACGTGCAGAACTGCAATAGTTATAGAATATTCTTCGATTTTATAGAATAGTATATATTTCTGTATCAACATAATTCGAAAATCAACAATCAAGAATCATCCGAATTATTTGAAATAGTATCATTTGTGCTGATTATTAATAAATTTTTATCGTTTTCTTGTTTGAGTAGTTTTAAGTTTTGAGAATGATAAATTTTAACTAGAATTCAGCTATTCTGCTTTTAAGCTGCATATTAAAATTCATGTAGAGAACTTACAATTATAAAATTTTGCTACGTAGTATGTTTTCTAAAAGTAATGAAGGGATAATCTATGTATATATTATTTGAAAATAAAATTTTCAAACGAAGAACATTTAATTCCAAAAGATCTTTGGGAAAAATGCAAAGACAACATTAGTGAAGACATACTACATTGCTTAGGTGCAACAAAACAAAATCCGCACATTCAATTCTCCCCAGACGTATATAATGAGGCCTTAATTTCAATCAAGGACATATGTTTAACAATCTTCAATAAAACACTGTTACAACTAGGAATTCCTGCTCCAAATCGATGTGTAAACAATTTTTTTAATCGTAATTTTCTACGACAAACACATTTTGATATCAACAAATAAAGTTCAATCGTTCAATCAAATCCTTCAAAACTGGCCATCGAACAACGTATAGCATACTACAAAATTATGACAGCTGTTACAAATCGAATCGGTGGATTGTTTTTCCTAGATGCACCTGGAGGAAGAGGTAAAACATTTCTAATTTTCCTTATCCCGGCAACAATACGATCACAAAACAAACCTGCATTGACTTTGGCATCCTCTGGAATTGCGGCAACTCTTTTGGATGGTGGCCAAACAGCGCATTCAGTACTTAAATTACCTTTAAATTTGCAATTCACTGAAACCCCGCATGCAATGTCCAAAAAAAAAATTCTTTAACGGGTAAAATACTACAATCATGCCAACTTATAATTTGGGATGTATGTGCTATGGCGCATAGAAAGGCATTAGAAGCGCTTCATCATGCACCAAGAGATTTGAGAGAAAATGAACAGCTTTTCGGCGGCACACTAATTTTATTGTTTGGTGATTTTCGGCAAACTCTACCAGTAATTCCACGTTCAACTCCTGCTGATGAACTTCATACATGTCTCAAATCATCAGCGTTGTGGCAACATGTACAAAAATTAAACTTGTAGACCAACATAAGTGTTTAACCACAACATGGTGCATCAGTCGAACATTTTGCAAAGCAATTGTTGGATATTGGTAATGGAATGATGGCAATAGATAAATCCACCCAAATTATTACATTGCCAACAGACTTCTGTAAAAATATTTCAAACATAGATGAACTTTTTCACAACGTTTTTCCAAATATCGAGGAAAATTACAAAAATCTTCAGTGGCTCAGTGAACGTGCTATATTAGCAGCAAAAAATAGCGATGTACGTGTGACATCAATAATCACATTCTAAATGAATTTCTAGGTAATGCAAGAACATATAAATCCATCGATACTGTAATAGATCAAAACGAAGCTGTGAACTATCTCACTGAATTTCTGAGTTCACTTGATTTGCCAGGTATGCCACCGCACGTTTTAACATTGAAAACTGGAGTACCTATCATCCTCCTTTGAAACATTAACCCACCCAGACGGTATGCGTCTTTTAGTGAAAAGAACAATGACCAATATCCTCGAAGTTGAAATTCCAAATGGCAAATTTAAAGAAGAAGATGTTCTACTACAGCGTGTTCCAATGACCCCCACAGATATGCCATTTGAATTTACGTTTGAAGTTTCCGGTGCGACTTGCCTTTGCCATGACCATCAACAAAACCCAAGTACAGTCACTACAAGTATGTGGCCTGAATTTAAAAAATCCCTGCTTCTCACATGGACAGTTGTATGTGGCCTGAATTTAAAAAATCCCTGCTTCTCACAGGAACAGTTGTATGTGGCCTGCTGATGTGTCAGAAAACATTCTAATTTATTCGTGCACGCTCGAAGCGGTAAAACAAAAACATTGTTTATTCAAAAGCAAATTGAATAAACCTGATTATAACGACCCGGGAAATTACCAAATGCTTTTCAACAACTAAATACATCTCTGACCATAATTAAATACAAAATCTGAAATATCTGACCAACAGCAAGCAAAACTGGCTATAGATCGACTGCTCACCTCTCAAGCCCATTCCTCTGAAACATCTGAGCAACGGCAAGCAAGATAGGTTACCGATTCAAAATGCATTGCTCAAGTCCGTTTATCTGAAACATCAAAATAATGGGAAGTAAGAATGGAAAACTCACTTTTCTATTCAATCGCCGCCCAATATGCTGGTTTAAATCTTTGTATCAATTACTAATTATACTCTCTATCCAAGTTATCATAGGAAAAATGGATCATTTATGTGTGTTTTGCAGTGATTTCAAATTTAAGAATGAAACAGCTGGAATTTGCTGTTCTGGTGGAAAAGTGAAACTACCAGATTTAACGTCGCCAATTGAGTCATTATCAACGTTTTTATCGGGTCAAGCAAATCAATTGAAACTTTTCTTGGCGAATATACGTCGGTACAATTCGTGTTTCCAAATGGCTTCTTACTTACTCACAATATTCTCCGAATTCCTCTCTTGTATCTGTGAAATTATAAAAATGGTCAAAAAATCCCTCTTCCGGGCACTTGTTTAATACGTCCTCTGTGCAAGTTTCTCCTCTTAAACCACCTATAAAAAAGGAGAATATAGTTGAGTAGACATTTTTTTATGAACGCCTACACACCAAGGAAGAAAAAAGTATGTTCAGAACAAGAATAAGGTAAAATTTGCCATGGTTTTCTGACTCTATATTTGAAAAAAAAAGTTCAGCAAAAAATGAAGTATGGATTGTGTTTTCTAGACTAAAGAGCGTTGCAAGCTCTTGACATCTTGTACTTCCGGGTTACTGTTTTTGGTGTGTTTTGGAGCTATTCGACTCACAACGTGATCATAGAGTTTTGAGACTATCTTGAGTAGACTTTCTTGTATACGTGTATTTGTTGCTTGATTTATAATTTGCGTTTAAAAGAAGAATCGTTTTTGGTGTGTTTTGGAGCCATTCGACTCACAACGTGATCATAGAGTTTTGACACTATCTTGAGTAGACTTTCTTGTATACGTGTATTTGTTACTTGATTTATTATTTGCAGTTAAGAGAAGAATCGTTTTTGGTGTGTTTTGGAGCCATTCGACTCACAACGTGATCATTGAGTTTTGAGACTATCTTGAGTAGAATTTCTTGTATACCTGTATTTGTTACTTAATTTATTATTTGCGTGTGAAGGAGGAATTATGCTATAAGAATCGCCATTTGACTGCCAATCATTTGAAGACGTAGGAATCGTCATTTGAAGAAAGGAATCGTTATAAGACGCTTCTTACTCTGTTAACAATATACCAGCTTTAAAATTTCAACATTAATGCTAATTTGTAAAATGAACTTGAAGAAGAATCATTATAAGGATCGTCATTTCAAGACGTAAGAGTAGTCATTTGAAAAATAGAAAACGCTTTTTACCTTGCTAACAATATACTAACATCGTAATTAATATAAACCTAAATGATAATTTGTAAAATAAACTTGTTCTCGCTGCTCGAACAATATGCTAACACCAACGTATGATGGTGCACGGCTTGCACCAAGAGTAAACAATAATAAACAAGTAAAAACAAGGCCAAATCAGAACTGCCAAGAAAGCGAGTTCTTTCTAAATCTAGCAACCATGTCCCTTTTCTTTTAACTTCACATCTCTAAATAACTAAAACAAATTTTCACTTCGAACTCACCAGTACTACTTAATATAATTAATATCTCATAAAATACAACAGATTTGAGCTCAAAAATTATATAATTTATTTCTTTTATTTAACCGTTTCTCGACAAGTTTTTTTTTTTTTTTTTTTTTTTTTTTTTTTTTTTTTTTACAATAGAACAATTTTGGTAGCATAAACTATGAGTAGGGAGCATTAGAATACTAAAACTAAGATGTTATATCTTTAGACAGATTTTAAACACTGATTTAGGACCGGGACATACATGTCCCATCAGTCCTGACAACTGGGACATATGTGTCCCAGTAGGTCTTCAATGAGTAATTTTGTAAAGAAAACCAATGCTCACATAGGACTTTTGGGATAATGTGTACCCACTATCCAAGACGAGAGGGACACATATGTCCCGATAATAAAAACGGAAGTAAAACTTTGCCACTTATCAGTTGCTTTGAGGTAATCCGCTTCGTGAGTAACTTCTCTGGCCTTATATTTATAGATCAATCAAAATTTAATCAAAAATAGTCGGTATTTCCAAAACTAAACTATTGACGTTTGTACAATATGGAATGAGCTGCTACAATACTTCACAAGCGCAGGAATTGCATTATGTACGGTAGTGCCATCTATGTTCTGTGAATGAAAATACCTTCAAAAATATTGGCGGGACTGGTGGGAAAGTCTCCCATTAGACAGAGAAACGTTTCTGTCCCAAAAGATTTTTTTGAAATTTGCCTGGAACGTATGTGTCCCGTTAGGCGAGAAAGGGTTAAAGCAAAATTATCTGTTTGAAAATATCATCTGGTAGAATAAGTTGTAGTAAGCAGCTATATACTTTCTCACCGGAAGTAGAGCAGGTCAAGACTCCGAGTTGGCTGTTGTTTACATTTAGATTGAACACACCATCCATACAAAATAATGAGAATTAATTTTTCATGAAATACCACTTTTAAAAAAAAACATTTTTTTTTAAACTTCCTCGTATACCACTTGAGATACACAATAGTTATGAAATAAAAAATTTTGTTTACATTTTAAAATAGTTAAACTCTAGAACAGATTTCAATTAACTTAATTTTGGTAGTTAGAGAAAGCACATAGTTTGGGTGCTACGAGTTGAAGCTTAAAATTTAGTTTAATTTAAAAAGGGGATCCTAAAAAAAGAATACAAATATTATGAATGAAAACGATAAAATTAAATATAAGTACGAAAAAAAAGGTACTTGTAAGATGCATTGTGATTGATAGATGTAAGTTAAACAACTTATTCTAACACGAAGCTTGAGCTCGTACTGCGAAAGATTTTCTTTTCTACTTTCTCAATTCTCGACAAGACGTTGCTTGTCCTACGACTACCTGAAAAATTTGCTTTCCCGTGCACGAAAGTACAGTCGGAGCTCTATTTATCGAAGAACCGAAATCCCGATAAAAAAGTTCGTTATATAGAAAATCACCATTTGAAATACTTAAACAGAACAAAACAGGTTTTAAATTCATAAACACTAGACATAATTAAAATAGCAATTGATACACCTTTATCTTGTAAATTATTATCTACTATCAAATTGTTTAAAATGATTTTGACATCTTATTATTTGAAGGTTTGGCGATTTCCTCATCATTTCAGTCTTAATTTTCTTTGTCGTCCTCACAATTTCTTGCTGTATTGCTTTTGTTTTTTACATTGTCCAAAATATCCGATTCAGTTAATGTTATTGTGGTTGTGGCTGCGAAATTCAATCTAAGGTCATTTTCCCCATAAAATCCGTTAACAAGTTTGAAATGATCCGAAATATTTTGGGAAATAGGGAAAGTGGACCTTGAAGAAAAGTTCGTTAAATAGAAAATTCACTTCGCTATTAGGAAGTTATTTTACGAAGATATTTCCAAAATGTTATTGGTTCCTCGAAAAAAAAATTGCAAAATAGAGAAATTCGCGAATTGCAAGTTTGTTCAATCGAAGTCCGACTGTTGTTCTATCTGTTCCACAACCAAATGCAACTGAAATAAAATTCTATCGAACTAGTGGTTTCCACTCGAGTTTTCGGACAAATGTCCGTTTCATGATTCAAATGAAACATTTCAAACGTTTTTCGAACGCATCTAAACTCAACTTTTTGAAAATTATTCACTGGCGGATGGAAAATTGAGTAAAAATAAAACTCATAAACAAGTTAAAAATTATTTTTTTTATTAGTTTTTCACTAGGCGACTCTCAAATTGTTAGATTTTGTTAAAACATTTTGAACTTATCTATTAGCATAACTAATTAAAAAAATATCGAAAACTTATCCAGCTTCGGATGCGGATGTAAGATTACTTTAATTGGCAATTACTTTTAATTGGCAGCTACTTTATTAGTATTTCCGCCCGTTTGATAAGCGAAAATATTAATTTGCTGTTGTGAACTCATCAAATTTGTTTGAACAGTGCAATGTTATAACAATATAAATATTTCAAAAAATGATTATTTGAAAAAAATTACTTCTGTTCACCAATAGATCTAAATATTTATAATACTAATAGATAATAATTTTTGGATGTGGGAAGTGCAGACACAAGCGAAGGAAAACAGAATTCTTTTTTGTACATGTTTGTTAAGTTAATAATTTAGTCTTTAGTAGAAAAATTGTTTTCTGCTAAGAAACAACAATTATTGCGAAGGGGTTGGCGAGCCGCAGTGAACAGAGGGCTTATCCCTCTAGTGAAAAAAACAAACTCAAATTAAATTGAGGTAGCTAAACAATCAATATTCTAAAACTCTCTATTTATAAATGGCATCTTATTTCTGTTTTCGCAACAGAATAAAGGTATTCATAGTGTTACCAAACAGTTATTTGCAAGCAGAGATACCAAATACACTCTATAACAAAAAGATCGACGCGCCAAGAAGGAGTTGTCCGATTGAAACGAAAATTGGTGGATAGGAAGACAATGTACAGAATAAAAAAATGATTAAAATTTCAGAACAATTGAATAATTTATTGCAGAGTTACAGTAACAAGTTCAATAAGGTGTTGACCCGCCTCTAGCCTGGATACAAGCTGCCACACGGCGTGGCATAGACCGATAAAGCTCCCGGATGGTCTCTTGCGGTATTTCCTGCCAAATTCGATCCAATTGTCGAACGAGGTCATCAACATTCCGTGCCAGATGCAATCGCCTTCCCATCATATCCCAGACATGCTCGATGGGAGAGAGATCTGGTGATCTGGCAGGCCAAGGAAGAGTTTGACAAGCTTGCAGACAGTTCATAGCAACACGTGCCGTATGTGGTCTGGCATTGTCCTGCTGAAAAACCAGCCCAGGGAGCTGCAAAAGGAACGGTAGCAAAACAGGTCTTAGGATGTCGTCGACGTACTACTGTGCAGTAAGTGTACCTCTAATGACGACCAATGGGGTCCGGCTGTCAAAGGAAGTTGCACCCCAGACCATAATGCCTTGTTGAGAGCCGGTGTGGCGAGCAATAGTGAAGGCAGGATCCTCCCTCTGCCCTGTTCGTCTCCAAACACGCCTTCGATGATTGTCAGGACACAATTGGAAGCGGGATTCGTCTCTAAAGACTATACGTCCTCAGTCGGCATCATTCCAGCCATATCTGTTCAAAAAAAATCATGCATACCAAATTTCAAAGCACTCGGATGATTGGTTCTTGGTACGCCGATATTTTTTGTTATAGAGTGTAGTTAGTTCATAAAATACAGCTTCTTTAACTACCACAGTCAATATATATTTTTAGAATTTCATGCAAAAAGGAAAAGATAAAAAGTAACACGTCGGGGGTTAACGTTTAAGTGATAAGAGAACAAAGGCATTATCTAAATCTCATGAATCACTACTGAGGAAAGTGGGGCTGTAAGCATCGAAATCTGTTTTGACTGCGGAAAGAAACAAGGAAGAATTGAAAAATGATTGTTAGAAACAGACTTTAACAAAAATTTTCATTCTTTTTCTGTTAAGCTGTTAATATCTTTCTGCATTTTATGAAAAGAGCTTTAAAATTTGAATTATAATTTTTTAAACATGAATGCTTTCTGCAATAATTTTTCTTCTAGAACATTTTTAAAATTACTTTTGTTTTTATTGTTTAACAATACACATTCATTTTAATATTTTATTTTTACTTAGTTGTTTAGTTATTTTTATAATTTTTAATTAGTTATTTTTATTATTTTTATTTAGTTCGCTAATTATTTTTTATTTATTTAATATCTGGAAAATAACAAAAAGAAAAATAAAACAATTGAAGATTTGCAGAAAGAGACAGCAATTTCAGTTAAAGGTTAGGGTAAATTTATTACACTTGATAAATTTAGGGAGTCCATTTTCTTTCTAACTCTCAGTGTTCATTTCTTTTTTCTGTTATAAACTTAATATATCACAAAAACTTTAAAAGATAATTATTTCAAATTTGGATTACGTATATTTTAATTATATTACAAAAAGAGCATTCTGCGGGATAGGTTCAGCAAACATTTTAGTATAACGCATTAAAATAATAAATATATTTAGAATTTTTTCTTTTCCCTATATTTTAAAATAATTTAAAAGCATTTCTGAACTTAAAATAGGTTACTTCTCAGTTCTATTATTTTTTTAAAATTTATTTGTCAAGATTTTAGCTTTTTTTTACAAATTTCCATAAAAAATGCTGATTACATATTAAATATAGAATATTTTTTATTGAAAATAATTTTAAAATTGTTAATTTTAAATCACATAATGTTTTTAGTCACTTCAAAAAAAATTTTTACTAATTCCAAAAACATGTACATAAGCGCATATGCGGGGTGGGGTTTGCAACTTGTTATTTTAGCTGATAACAGTGTTAAAAGAGTATGAGCAAGGCTTACTTTAAATACAAGAAGAAGTAAAAAAAAATCGGCAAACTGTTGTATTTGGAAAAATTTCAAATTCGTTAAATTCAGAGAAAAAAAAGTTGGGAAAAACTTCTTCAAGGGGTTTTAAAAGTTTTCAAAATGATTTTAAGCGTAAATTTTGGTACATGCAAATTTTTTAATTGAATTTTATCCTAAAATTCTTAATCTTAAATTTCTACAGTATAAGGTATAGGTAATGGATATTTTTGCTTACATGGGAAGAAGGAAAATTCCAAAAATGATCAAAAACAATAATGCAAGACCCCCACGAAAATTGTAGATTGAAAAAGAAATTCAAAAACGTGTTCTAAATTCTCTTAAAAATGAATTTAAAAAAATAAAAAAGTTTAGCCATCATAACTGAAAATTATAATTACATTTACGTATTATTATTATTATTATTAATTATTATTACAATGTATGTCAAAAGTAGAAAGATTTTTGAGTTCTCAATCTTTTCGCCAAAGCTAAGGCATTGATATAATTGCTTTTTTTTTCCTTTCATATTACATAAATAATATAAATCGTTTTTGTGAATAAAGGACCTCATGATTTAAAAAAAAAATAAATAAAAAAAACGCTCTAAGGCTATTCCCCCCCCCCCGAAGAAATGAGTTTTTGATGCACAAGGAAAAGAAGAAAATAAAAATTTTAAAAACAAGTGTAGTGTTAAAAAGTTTGTCTACAGCGTCTACAGCTTGTCAAGAAGTCTTCAGCTTACTATATTTCTATTATATTACTTAATTATAAATAATATAATTTTAAAGTTTATTAATAATAAAACCCGAAATTCAATTAGATTATTAAAAAAACCAGATTGAATCATAATAAACAAATTTCTTACCAATAACTGCACACAATAAACTAATCCAAAAAAGTGACAACATTGCGCTAATAGCGACTAGCTATTAGAAAACCATGGTAGAACGAGGGAGTAGAGTTCTTCCTATTTTAACGCACTGAGGATAGTAAGCAAAGATAACTATTTTCCTCTCTAAAATTAGATATTACATTTGGCATGGGGCCAAATATTAACTACTGAGCAAATGAGCAAAACCGTCTTATTTATTCGTTTCTACACGTAAAAACAAATGTTTATACGTTTATTTTTTTTCACTGTACAAATCTTTTTTCTTTTATGTGTTTTTGCCCATGCCTTCTATGTAATCATTAGCTAATTATTAAAGAACAAATTGATAATTCACCTAACTAAAAAATTAAGAATATTGAAATATCTTCTCTTGATGTTACTTTAAAGTAATCGTCTTAATTTGTCTGTCTGGGACAATATAATTCAGCTTGTAGGTCTTCCACATTTTATTGCTGGTGTTTATAAATGTGTTGTCATCAGTTGACATCAAATTGGCTGTGTCAGAACAGCGGTTCACAATTATAAAATGAGAAGGTTTCTTCAATAGATGTTGTTTTAAAATAATAATTTTAATTTGTCCGTCTGGGACAAAATAATTCAGCCTTTTGGGACTCCCACATTTTATTGCTGATGTTTATAAATGTGTTGTCATCAGTTGACATCAAATTGGCTGTGTCAGAACAGCGGTTCACAATTATAAAATGAGAAGGTTTCTTCAACAGATGTTGTTTTAAAATAATAATTTTAATTTGTTCGTCTGGGACAAAATAATTCAGCCTTTTGGGTCTCCCACATTTTATTGCTGATGCTTATAAATGTGTTGTCATCAGTCGACATCATATTATCTGTGTCAGAACAGCGGTTCACAATTATAAATTCAGAAGGTTTCTACTACAGATGTTGTTTTAAAATAATCATATTTATTTGTCTGTCTGGGACAAAATAATTCAGCTTGTGGGTTTACATTGCAGAATCATTACATTGCTATTTCAGGGGTTTCGGTCTTGGGATGACAGGGCATATTGCAATTGTAATTTTTTAGTAATTTCTTCGAATTCAGTACACTGAACGTAAAATATGGTTTGTAAATATCTAAATTCGCACAATGAAAATTTAATACCAATAATTTATCAATATATTGATTCCGTAAAATTCTTGTAAAAACAATTGTTGACATAATTTTTTTTCAAAAACTTATTTAAAAAAAATGTACTAGGTGTTTTAGAAAAACAAATGATATCAAATTACGAACTTATCTGTATTAATTAGTTAATTCCATAGAAAAAGAATTCTTTTGAAGAAGTTAAGTTAGAAAAACAGAATCAAACGCTATGTCGATTTTCTTATACATGCTTTTTGTTAGATTTTAAAAATAATTTTCTCGGATTCTTCACGCACTCTACTCAGCCAAATGTTTCATTTGAGAGAAAGAACCAATTTTAGGAATTTTTTTACTCTCGTTTAAATAAATTTTAATTAAAATGTTCTCTGAATTAAAATAATCTGCAAAATTGACTGAAATAAATTCTTAGCCGTTTCTTTGCATATTTCACCTATTAAAAACTGAATTAGTAGCCGTTTGTATCATATATTATGAAAGCAATTAATATTTAAAATTCAAACTACGTTTATCTAATATTAAGAGCTACATTTTCAAAGATTTCCAATTTAAATCTTTATCAATATAAAATTCAAATCTTGTTTGATATTATTAGCAGATAATTTTAGCAGGATTTTAAATTAAGAATTTTCAATATACAAGCTTTAAATATTTCGGCCAAAAGATCAGAAATGAACTCCAATATCTTATTTTTTGTAATCCGTACACCAATGAAATTTGCTAAATAATCTAAGAAGAACTTCGTAAGCAATTCTAGAGTTGGCGAGCTAATACAGAACCTTTTAAATTTAATAAATGCAGAAAGACTCATTTGTTGATGAGAATTTTTTTTGAATACATTTCAAAAATATGACATGAAAAATAAGCATATATACTTCTAAATCAAAATTATTTCCTAACGCTGGTATTTCATACATGTTGGCATATCTTCTCTCGTAATTACTGCTTTGAAACATATTTTTTGAAATAATAAATATTAACTCTGTAACTGTATAAATCACTTACAAACTAAATATAAAAGTAAATTAATTGTTGAAAAGTGCTACAAACTATGTCTGACACACAAAGAAAAAGGGAAAAGAAATGGTTAATGGGCAACATCTTAATCGTCTGTCTCGTGTATATTTAAAGAAAGCAAAACACCGGAGCCGTAGACCAGTGTGTTGTATTTTCGAAGAAAAAAAAATGTCCTGTATTTAAATTTTAATTCTTGTGAACTATTCGATCGATTTTTTATCTAAATTTTGAATTTCGTAATTTATTATTGCTACTTTATGGTTATGTAAAAAATATCGTGCTTTACCAGTCTAAATTGTATTACTTTTATCTAGTAAGTAATAAATGTCTAGTAAGAAATAAAATTATTAAAAATTATTTTATATGGGGAATAATCTTTGCATAAAAGTTTCGGCTCGCTTCAAGATATGAGAAAATACTCAAAAAATAGATGGTAGATCGTGATCGTCTTAGATGGCAGATCGTCTTAGTAGAGTATCTTTGAGTTCTTAATTTGAATTAGACAAAAGTTAAATTAATGGGAAGGTATATGTAAATGTTTTTTTCTTTCTTATTGATGTTCTGTACAGTTCAGACTATATTTTTATGAGTTACATTGTTACATGAATTTGTGGCACAATAAACTCTTTAATTTAAAGATACAGGATTAATTTAATTTAAATTATCGTGCTGATTTCAAATAATTTTAAATTATCACTAACTTATTTAACTTTTCTAAGAAATGTCTTCTTGATTATACAAGCGAATTTCTTATATTATCCCAAAAATATGCTTAATACATAATAAAAAATATAAGAAAAAGAAAAGAAAAAGAAAAGAAAAAGATAGAATATAACATAATAAAAATCACGCCTAGTAGTTAAAAGCCGATTACTCCGTTTTTATTGCACAAGGACTGTGAAATGTGGTTTATTAAGTTGTATTAGATAACATCTTTATTACTAAGTGCGTGATATCGCATGATCTTTAAGCACCTAAATTTATCAAATATTTCAGAAAAAATTTGTAAAATGTCAAAACCCGAAACTGAAAGGAGCCTTTTGGTCATATAGTATTGAATATGTGCGACAAGTTTTATTAAACTTTTCTGAAGTAAAAAAAATAATACTGATTTAAAAAAATTTGATATTTATTTAGTATTTTGATGGGATAAGGGACTTCAGTTGTCACCCGGGTGCATGAAAACAACCTTTACCGCTACTGGAACCCATGAGAGATTTCGAGAGCGCTGATTGGATTTCTTGGCAACGCCTTTTACTACGTCTTTCTGTAGCTCCTCCCTAATATAATTTCTCGGAATTTATTAACAAAATGCAAATCAATGTTAAATCAGTTCTCGAAGTTTTAATGATTGTATTTTCCACATCAGTTTTAAGTAAAATGTTAAAGTTCCTTTACAGAAAAAAAAATAGTGTTATCAATAATTGTTTTTTTTTAGTAATAATAACATACTTACTGAAATCTAGTTTGCTTAAAATTTTATTCTGATGTTTTTATTTATTTGTATAAAATCACGTTCAGTAACGTAAAGATGTTATTTTTACGTTACTGAAATAATATTTTTAATGTTAGTTAATAGTAAGGACTTTTCAAATAAATAAAAGTTTCAACTTTTCTAAAACATCAAATTAGTACAATAATAATTATTAAATACTATAAATTTGAGGGCATAGTTTAAAAGCATTTTTAGCAAGCATTTCAGTAATAAAAATATAAAATTGAAATTAAACATGTATTTATATTATTTATTCAAATTTAACTGCATTATGGGATTTAACAAATTTGAGGATCTGAAATATTAAAATCATTACTTTTAATTATTTTTGGGAGTTTGAAAAAGATTTTATCATATCTTAGAAAAAAAATATTCCATAATATTAAAAAGTGAAATTGTAATTAAGGTCACCAGTAAAAAAAAATTAGAGCACATTTGTGATTCATGAAATTTATTTTATCATGAAGTAGCATAATACAAGTTTAAAAGCTACAAAATTTATACAAGTATAGTAGGTTACAGTAAAATCAAAGCAATTTAAATTAGAAGGAAAGAAATTGATAAGGAATAATACTTTTAAACTGTAACGAAAGTTCCCAAATTTATGAAGCATATCATGCTCTTGAAATTTCTAAATTAAATTTACCTATAGCGCTAGCTGAGCAAAAGTTTCCCAATGTAAACAACACAGTCTAGATCCATTACGTAAGACTTTAATACATAAATAACATTTGCATACAATTAACATAACAAAAGTATTTCTGATTAACATGAAAGAAATTTTATCATCTCAAGACAAATATTCAATCAGATAATATTATTAGTCAAAAATATGATACGCATCACGAAATTTTCATGATATATTTAAAAAAAAAAGAATAGAAATAGAAAGCATGCAATCAGCATAAGAAAGCACTTAAAATAAGTTGTAAGTAGATTGAACTTCTACAGATTTTTTAGTTCAGACTGCACGATTTTTTTTCTCTTGTTAAGTCTAATTTTTATTTAAAAATTCAAGTAAAGCCCTTACTGTAATTTCCCACTCAAAAGGAAAAAAAAACAGTGATTTACAATTGTCTCTAAAGAACTGATGTAGTTCCCCGGATCAAATTTAAAAAACGAAAAAATGCTGGAACCATAATGCATATTGAAGTGTGACATTATTCGAAATTATAACGAACTTCAACTGCCAATTTAGTGTCGTCTAAAAATTAAAAGAAAATGTTCTAAATCAAGATCGTTTGACCATGGGTCGCTGGTAAGACTTGTCTCATATATGATACCGTGGGTCATGAAGGGAGAATCGAATCACCTGAATGGGTTAAAATAATATTTAGATGTAGACAAAAATAATGATAATATTAATAAAGTGTTACATAATCTTTTATTTTTGTTAGAATGAAAGGGAGGAAGAGTGCAACAAATGATGCATTGCGTGCAGTACTGCCACCCTAGAATATCATCTCGATATCTTAGTTTTCCAGGTTCTCTTCTTTTTCCAGGTTCTCTTCTCCATACAACCCAAGGCAATTTGTGAATGGTCCCACTGTTGATTTGCCGCACATCATTTTGTATTGTTCGCCTATAATATTAGTGGTAAAATTTTCAATGAAGCTTTTTGCCTCCTGATTACATTTCAATTTAACTGATGTTGATGTGCACATATTCAACCATTCAAAAGAGCTGAAAGTAGGAAAAACATGAAGTGGTCAAATACATTTTAAATTGAAAAAAGACACTCTTTCTTATTAATCTTTTGTACACAATTATTGCTCAATTATTATTTTAAAACACATTAAGCAGCTAATAAATTATTGCTGGGCGTAATGTTTTCTTTCTTTATAACTTATAAAAGTAGCAGCTATGGTTAGATCTACGTGACTATTTGTGTATGAACCATATTTTAAGTAATTAGTTCTTATTTCACAAATCAGGAGTTTTCCACCTGATTCTACATAGTCCAGTCACATTAGTGTAACCAACTGTCAAAAAACCAGAATAAACAATTTTCGCAGAGCGGATGGCTGCGAGATGAGCAGAAGGAGATTTAATTAGGTTCTCGGAGGAGTTTAATAGGTGTAGATGCATGCCAACTCTAGTCAATAACTCCTGTAACCAACTACTTGTAATCGTTATTAAAAACTTTTATAATTTCGATTACAACTATAATCGTAATTACATAACCATAATTAATCAGGCAAAGAACTTTTATTTCTTGCAAAATTAAAAAAAAATGTCAAGAACTGAAAGTGTCTCTTCCATTATTTTATTTTATAACCGTCGTTGAACAGCAGACCCAATTTCATGGGTTTACGACTACTAACGTTCAACTCCGTAGCCTTGTAATTTTGAACCAATCCAGAAGACAAGGAACCCCCAGAGGTATTGATTTGTTGTGGGAACATGGAGGACTTTGAGACTCGACAGATTTAACGTGCATCAGTCACCATTTACTACACGGGGAGTCTTCGGCCGGCGAGGATCGAACCCACGACCTCTTGGATATGGGCCCAGCGCCCTACCGACCAGACTATCCCGGCCCCCTCTGTAGGGTAGTATGTGCAATGTATGTCCATGTATGCATATGCAAGCATAGAGTTGCTGCTTTTGGATGAACATACACGCATTGTACGCACAATGTATGCCTCATGCATGCATGTGCACTATATTTGTATTCTATGCATGTATGTACAATGTATGAATGTCCTATATATGTATGCTTAATGAAATTATGTCCCATGCATGCATGTGCATATACACAGTATATGTGTGTTCAATGTATGTATCTGCATATGTGTAATATATTTCTGTACAATTGTACGTACAATGGAAGTACATATGCACATAAATACTGCAGAAGTATACAGACTATAACGTACCTTTTCGTTGAATGCAAAAAGTTCTCAGCGCTCCGTGGTAGCTGTTTTAATAAACAGGGAACCATGGAGTCGTGGTGTAAAACAAAAACGTATAATTAAATCTCTTATTAAACGAACATTGGAAGATCAGATGGCACCAGACGACTTCATGGATCCCCTATACACTTTACCATAACTTTTTAAATTACCTCCTTCTGCCATACTCCACAGCCATTTTTCTTATTTTAATAATTTTAGCTATTCCCCTTTTACTTCAAGATGATGCCGTTTTTTACCAGTTTCAGGCTTTGCGTCAGAATTTTAATTATTCAGTCCTCTTGCCGATTTTGACTATTCTTTACTTTTTAGCTACTTACCTTTTAACGTTTCTTAGCTTTGCTATTAAATTTAAAATTTAGATCAATCGTAATCATTGTCACCTACCTTTTAACTACCTTTGGTTCTTATCATTTACCAATTTTTAGAGCTGTTTTAAATCTTGCGTTTAATAACTGTTTTTGGGTATTTGGTTTTACCAAGATTGCTTGCTTGGTATTAGCAGTCAACTCACGTTTCAATATTACCTGTATGGATATTGACGTTATATTGATTTTAATTGATTTTGAGCTTGGTACAAAATTTTTGTGTTATCGGCTCACTATAATGAGATGCTCCATCGGCTCATGTATAATAAGATGGGCACCTTCCGAGCAATTGTTCTTTTACCATTCTCGTTTTTTTTCCTGTTGCCAGCTTGTTTTTGTGATTTTGTTTTGATTTTAATAAATGCCACGGGTGTAGCCTAGCCGACCTGGTCCATCTATAGGGGGGGGGGGGNGGGGGGGGGGGGGTGCACCTTGTGTTCGGGTCAGGGTCCTCTTAAGTGGGTTGTCGCGGAGGCGGATTGCGCTTCCGTATGCCAAAAAGAGGGTTATTTGGCTGTACAAATTCCTTACATATGCTCATACATGCATCCAACATGTATATATACTACCCTCTGCACACACATACAATCGACATACATGTTTTGTACATATGCACAGTGCGACAAAAAACAAATAGACCACCCTGAATAATTTTTGACTTAATGATCGTATCTTCACGTTCCGGGCTCAATCTTAATGGTTTGAGGGGGCGCCTCATATATACTAACTAATTGGTTCAGACGATATTTCATGTTACGAAATCAGACACAAAAAACGTACTTCCTCTGAAGAAACATTCCTTTTTTCCGACCGACTTGGATTTTGACCCATAAAATACAGGGGGTAGCCGCAATCTGGGAAATATGGCCCCCATAGTTTTGTCAGGAAAGCGATCCAAAGTTTTGACCCCCTAATGTTAATTTTGTTTACTAAAATTTACTTTTTGCATGGGATTATCTGTGGATAAAGGAATTTTATAATTGCGAGGAAAGATTTTTCAATTCGCTTAGATAATTTTAAGCAAAAAATAAATTTTATTGAGTATTTATTATTTTATTTACTAATAATTGAAAACTTTGAATTATAATGTGTTAGGTTTTTCGCATCATTTTAAAGAATGTAATTTTAAGTGACAAAATGCAAAATTTGAGCAATATCGATCGAATAGTTTCTGAGAAATCATGTTTTGAAAAAGTCGTATTTTTAAGTATCAATTTCTCAAGAACTATTCGTCTGATTTGCTCAAATTTTGTATTTTGTTATATAAAAATGCATTCTTTAAAATAATGTAAAAAATTGTATAAGTTACGATTCAAAATGTTTTCGACTATTACTAAGTAAAATAATAAAAAATAATAAATTCTTACTAAAATTTGTTTTTTGCATGAAATTATCTGTGGCTAAACGAGTTTTATAATTTAGTTCAAATGACGCTCGATTCAGTTAAAAGTTCTCGAAATATGGCTAAATACGCAAAAAAATGAAACTAACATTAGAGAGACCAAACTTTGAATCACTCTCCTGATCAAACTATGGGAACCATATTTCCCAGATTGTGGCTACCTCCCCATACAGCACATTGACTTCGTTATGACATCCTAAAGTTGTCATCTTTAGGATTCTGTGACTTCCAGAGGAAGTCCTATATTTACCGCTAAATGTCATACGGATGTCATCTGCGTGTTAGAATGTCCCACCTGCAGATATCTTAATGATGTCATAACTAGGACAGTTTCAGGATACCTTTAGAACGCTTTAGGATGGCATTAGGACATAATAAGACCTGTTTAGTAAGGATTTAGGTAACTTGTGGGATGCATGTTGGAAATGGTATGATAGTAATAGGAGGGTGTCTTATTTTGGAAATAAATTTCATCTTTGAAATTTTTATTAATTTTAGCAACTTAAATAAGGTTTTTCTTTTAAATTTACTGAATTAGAGGTCAGAAAAATGTTTTCTAAATGAAAAAAAAGGTGATAGTTTTTAATTTGTATACCACTCTATTTTTCCAGAAAAATGGGCTATTCCTCTACTATTTTTTTTAGGAAAATTAGTAAAGGAAAAGGGAGTAAAACAGTTAATAAACAAACGTATCTAAAGAAAAGAATAATGTATCATTTTAATACAAAAATATGCAAGATAATTGGATTTCACATTTCTATTGCTTGGAATAAAAACTTGGCCATTATTAAAAAGTCTAATTGAATGTACCCTTTGAACACCAAGGAAGGTTACCATTCTCCTAATTAGCGTTAGTTTTCTGTAAAGAATATTTCTTATTAAATTAAATTATGAGACTTATTGAATCTTTTATGTACATTGTAATTTATGATTGCTTCATTATTGCTCATATTGTTTAATGTAGTAGATATATTAAATATCTTATAATAAAATAATGAATAATTTTTATTTTAATGTTGCTCTAATACTGAGAACTTCGCATTAATATTTAAATTTCTCGTATGATCAGTTGAAACTAGTTAATTGGCAAAATAATTCTCATTACATTCTTCTGCAAAATTTACTAAAAAACATTTTATATTATAAATAGTTTAAATGAAGTTGTGACTATTTTATCAAAAACTCAAAATAGATGTTTATGGATCACATACTTTATTGTTTAGTTATTGTGTCAATGATGCAATTTAAAAAAACAAATAAAATTAGAAAATTATCTGTTTTTATATACAAACTAAAACAGCTGTTGCCATGTTTTGCTGAAGAATTGTTAGCTGAAGGCATACTTAAATCAGTATCTTGAAAATATTAAAAATAACTTGTTTTAAGGATTTATCTATTTTTTGCAGCATAAATTTAGTGTATGCAAATAAATATGAGAATAGAAAAAAATAAACAATATTAGAATCACATAAGTGAAACTTTTATTTACACTATTATTTCCTTAATTTTTTTACAGAATAAACTCTTCTTTCTTTAGCATGGCGCAACCAGCCTCTAATAATGCTTCCAACTTCATTTACTTTAGTGTATGTGAAAACACTGCAAACAGCTTCTAAAACATAACAAAAAGAAAATATAAACAAACCAGTAGGTATTTTCATGAATAAACATAAAATTATTTCAGAACCTATTTAAAAGGTATCTCAAACTAAATTAGTAGAAGCCCAGATTTCTGTTACTCTCAGGGAAAATATTATGGGGTAACCTTGTTAAGCTGCTTTTTCAATTGCCCATCATACGTAACTTAATACTAGTTCACAAAAAATAAAATGATTTGATACATGTTTGATTCATTGTTATAAGAATAATCTAGTAACAACAACTGTAATAATGATAAAGCTATTAGTACACACAAGTGCAAGTCAAAAAAAGTGTTGGATAACTGAAGTATCGTATGATTACCATTCTACTATGACTGGAAAAGAAGATGGTGATACTAATAACAATATTATTTCAAACAACACACTCATAAATTATTCCAATGTTTGAAATTTATAAACTCATTGAAAATTCATGGAATACTAAATTTATAGTATATTAAAAAGTTTAGCAACACAAATTTTAACTATATACTGTCAAACTACAAATGGAATAATATATATATATATAAACAGGGATTAAATATTACCAATAATTGCACCTGACACTCTGTAACCAAAAAATCTTTTTTTTCATTATTGCCCATCCAGCTTTAGAGTTCAACAACATCATCAGGCATGATGTGACGAATAGCTTGTCTTGTACGTTCTTTAAAATCAGTTCCATCAAGACTTTGCAATCTAGCAGACTATGAGAAAGAAAAAAAATTATACAAATAAAAATATTTTAAAAAAGCAAATTGACATGTAAATGATATAATTAATAAAAATTTATTTTAAAGAAAACAAAATTTCATTCTGAAAATAGTTTATCGTAAATCTGTCCTTGTAAAAGAACGAGCTCTTGGAGAATCAAGAAAAAGACAATACTAAAATTTAGCATACAATTTTTTTTTGTAAAAATACAAATATGTAAATACTAATTAAATGTTTCAACCACAATTATCAGTTAAAAATGTTAACAAAAATTTAATAATTGAGAAAATATGCAGATCAACTACAAGTAAGTTTTATATGCCTTTTAAAGCACTAAATATTTTATCTTAAGAGATCATTGAATATTTTTTAACCCCGTCAAAAAATACATATTATGAAACACAAGATACCTACCTAAAATATATCTATAAAAGTAAACTAAGAATTAAAATGTAAACACATATATTTAAACCAGCTTCACAATGCAAGAGGTGAATAATGACAAATATATTTACAAGAACTTTTTAAAAGAAAATAAACTCCTTACAGATTCAATAACTTTTTTCAATACTTTTATTAACTTTTCAATATTTTTTTAAAAAAAAGTATTTCTTGAAATACTAAGTAGTGAGCATGAAACTAAGCATTAAGCAGGAGAAATTCTAATAACTGCTTTTGAAACAATGACATTAAAATGAGAAAATGTAGACACTATTCTGTATAAAATTAGTTACACATATAGACATTTTGATCGCGTCCATATGATTCTTTTTTAAATAATAAACTTAACTAATATTAATATAAATATAATTTAAGAACTATTTTTAAAAAGATATGAATTACTGAGATAGTGAAAATAATGTAATTATCTTCAGCAGTTAAAATTGATAGCCTGATTAAATTTAATATAATAGTTAGATAACTTTGCAACTTTTTATTAATTTTAAGACAGATTGATTATGAACAATCATATAAGGAGAAAAATTGAATTCATTGCAGCAAATGCTGCAATTTACTCAGACTAGGACGGAAAAAAAAACCTGCAGCCCTTTTGCCTGGTTATTTACTTGGCTAAGTATCTCTAATTTTAAAAATCCCTATGGACCGCATTTTTTACACAAGGGAACGCTGCAAGCTCTATACGCCTATACTTCCAGGTTACTGTTTCGGGTGTATTTTAAAGCCATTTGGCTCACAACGCGATCATTGTGTTTTGAGAACTTGCAAGAGAACATTGTGATTCTTGCAAACGTGGTATTTGATTACTTATTACTTGTGTTTACAATGCTAAAGGTGCTAACACTAACGTAAGATGATGCACAGCTTGCAACAAGAACAAACAATAATAAACAAATTGAAAGAGGCCAAATCAGGATTGCCAAAAAAGGGAGTTATTCAAAATCTAGCAACCATGTCACCTTTTTCGCAATGCATCTCTAAAGAAATAAAACAAATTTTCACTTCTTACTCACCAGAATTACTTATCGTTACTATCTTATGAAATACAACAGATTTGAGCTTAAAAATTATATAATTTATTTCTTTTGTTAAAAACAAAATTATCAGTTTGAAAATATAGCCTAGCAGAATAAGCAGTAGCAAGTATTGAGTTGGAGATTGTTATTGTTTACATTTATATTGAAAACACCATTCATAGACAATTTATAGACAAAACTTTGTAAAAAATGGTAAAATAACAATATACTAAATAATGAAGATGAATAGCAACATTGAAATAATTTAAATGTCATTTCATTTGTAATTAGAAGAAATGATTAATTTAGGGTTACCAAAAAAACATGCCAAATAACAAGTTGAACTTAAAGGAAGAAAACAAAAATAATAGAAAGAATGAGTTATCAGAACAGATAAAAATTTGCCTCACGAAATAATAAAAGTAAAACTTCCTCAATAATTATGAAAAAATTAAATAAACCACGCATTTAAACATTTAGTAATGTATGTAAACATTGCAAACATGCATGTAAACATTGCAATTGAGATATTAAAGATAATGACGGGGTTCAAGTACACTTATAAATCAAATATATAAATAGATTATAAAAAAAAGAAAGATAAACAAAAAAGAAACTAATAAGATATTTGAGCTTATAAATACCTTATTGTTTAGATTTCACTAGCAGAATTGCTCTTGTCACTGGATAAAAGAAATAACATTAACGGCAAAGTTGAAGTTAACACGCATGCGCTGAACGATGATCCTACAAGACTCCTAAAACACTCCTTTGAAAGGCCTGTCATATTGCTGTCTATTTGTGACATCCTACGAAATTCTTTCTTCTGACACTTTACGGATATGACTGTTCCAGGAGTGTTCGGAATGTTTTGGGATGTCTTTAGGACGAAATTTGCTGTATGGGTCTATATTTTGGTGGTCAGAAATCCGAATCCATGAACAACAAAAAAGTGTGTTTATTTAGAAAAAGTACGTAAGTTCAGAAAAAGTACACAACAACTCGTAATCGATTGTAAACAATTACAGACGTATCTAAAGCACGCGAAAGCTGGATTTTTCGGAAGTAAAAAAATTCATTATATAGATCTAAAGGTCTTGGTTTAAACTCGCTGCAATTTAGGTATTTAGAGCTTTCAACAATTAGTTGGCGAGGTTAACTTAGGAAGTGCTCTTTCATATAATTTTTGAGGTGATTCAAGATCAAATTCCGAGAGATATTATACCAAAACCCTTGAGACACCCTATTTTAGATTAAACCTACCTCCTCTCCCATTCTTTATATTTCGGTATTCAAAGATGGCTTTGGTATTTATTTGGCTGGATTAGAACTCCCGTTCTCACAAACGGAAGACCAAAGACCTGCCAACCAGGCTATGTCAACCTTAACTTAACTACTAGTTAGCACTAATTAATTATCGTATTTGAAGTTAATCTTTTGAACCATTAACTCTAACATTTATTTTTTAAAAACTCATCATCGGAAAAAAAGCTATTCAATACAAAATGTTTCTTTTTCTCTTTTTGCAGATGTACCAAGCCAAGCACCAAGGTCTTTACTAAGGAGAGTAAATAATAATAATGACAACATACCAACAGATGTGGAACATTTTCGTGTTAGGATCCATTTCATCATGAATGATTTTATGTACAACATCTGTATATTTTGATTGACAATATTCAAGATCGCTTGTGGTTTTTGGCCAACAGTCTATATTGTTCAAGTAAGCTGAAACAAATTTATTATTAAGATCTAAAGTAATTCTTCAAAATATTTCTTTTGGTCATATTGTTAAAAAAAAAGGCTTTCTTTCATTGATCATATTGCATCAATGAAAATAATTTATTATTTTTTTTTGTGACAGCAGATTAAGACAAATGCATATACTTTTTTAAATGTAGTTTATCAAAAATTAACATAAATTACATTATATTATTAAAAATATGAAATTACAGAAAAGAAATCAGAAATGGCAATCATGCTAGAAAATGGAGTCGCACAAAGTACTTTATGGATGGATGACCGTGTAAAGTTAAGTACAGATGGCGCTAGGGGTTAAAATTCGTCGTAAGACTTCCGGCTTACTACTTCCGATTGCTGTTTACGCCTGAACTTGGAAATGCATGCCATTCAATATTATTATAGTTGTAGTGCTCACAACATTACAAATTCTTTTAATTTATCTTTCAACGAAGCAAATTAATGGATTCAGACGACCTCGCAAGCATGATATGACAATGCCCAAACAATAACAATTGGCGATATTTTACACAAAGTCAAATAAGGGCCAAACAATAACACTCAAACCATAGCAAAAGTTCCACCTAATTTATGTTGTGAAATTAATTTTCTTAAATTTATTTTATCCTCGTGACCTGTTAGAATTTATAAATTACAAAAAACTCCTGTAATTTAAAAAATATATTTTTTTATTAAATGTAGTAAAATTTCGCATACATTTCATAAAAAAAATCACAATAATAAAACTTCCAAGAATATCCAGTCTGTTCACACATCGCTTCATAAGCATAACATTAGCGGAGAGATACACCGGAAGTTTTTGAAACTTCTTCCAGTTTTAGGAAGTTTGTTATTGTTTACATTCAGTCAACCATCTTAGGTATATCATAAAATCACGTGAAAAAAAGATTTTATTCACTTTTTGCATCCCTTTTACACAGGATTATCATTATCCTATCTATGCTGTTCTATTTACATTCCAGTAAATCCTCGAGTAGAAAGTATGCGTAACTTTTCATAGTGTACCCAAATTCCGAATTCAATCAATCCATATATAACCAACCATCCATAGCCAACCATCCATATACACATATATTTTCCATATACATAAGTTTTTGTTTAAAAATTATACCATAAAAAACTACGAAAGAGAAAAATTAACATAATTTGACAAATCGTTATTGAGTCAAAGGAGAACAAATTTCAAAATTGTATTGGCATAATTTTCGAAAAATGAGCAGAAATTCTAAAATACTGCTTGCTATAATTTTTTAGATTCTGGTGGGGTGAAGATCCGAATCGCGATCGCAACACTGGAATACTCCATTTGGGGAGAAGACCAGTTTCGCGGTTAGGTCATAAAAAAATATATTATAAAATTTACATGATGCTTAAATTAAGCACTATGTTCAGTTCAGTGCAGTTTTGAGTTCCATATAGTTTCCAAGCTAACAATTTTTTAATCTGTTTGAAAATCAAGACAGAAATTAAGGTACTTCCAACTCCCTTGGTTATCCACACGCTACAGTGAAAGCGTACCTACTGTTACCACAAGTAAAGAGTTCTGCTATGTATCAGCTGTAGTCCATTTCAAGCGCCAATATTTTGCTGGCCTCATATGATACTTTTCAGTTGCATAAATATCCAGCATTCGTTTATTCGCGAAAATTTATTAAAAGAAATATTTAAAATTTTTTCCTAGGATCTCCACTCCTTGGAGAGATGAGTTTGTTCTAAAAGAGAGATGCCACTTATGAGTATTAAAATACTGTCTACCTGTATTGAATTCTGTCCCATCTGTGCATATATCTTCAAATATCTTAAAAATTCTGTTACCAGTAGCTAGATTGAAGACTCTAACTTCGTCATAAGACATGCAGTTTCTCACGTAATCTCTCACGCATTTTGTCGCTTCCAGCTTTTTCCTGCAACAGAATGTTGATTTTAGCATGCAATGGGGAGCAACCGAAACCCAATCCAACGAGAATGGACACAAGAACATAGATGACGCAATGTTGCCGAACCGATAAAAAAAAGCTCTTTGTGCGAAGCAAAATAATTTTTAAAAATGACAATAACATAATATGTTTACTATGTGCCCGAAACTACAAATATACATTTCCAATAACAAAATAAGTAAAACAAATAAAATGAATAAAACAGGATCAGGAGAAAGTACAGGAATAAAATTTTGGGACGAATTTAAGCGATAAATAAAAGAATATAGACAATTCATCAAACTAAAATGTTCTCCATTAAAAAAAAAGCCAGATTTTATGCTCTACCTATCTGAAAACTAAACAGAACGAAATATGTATAAAGCAGAACATATGTAGACCATTCATTGCGAAAGATGGATACTGGAAGACAAAGGGTAAATATAAAATATCCAATAATTGACTGCGTCAATATCCAAATATTGACGCAGTAAAAAATCAATGATAATTAAAAAAATTAAAATAAATATAAAGACGAAAAATTGAAACAAATTATGTACTTACTGCAAAAATATTTGCAATGCAAAAAAAGGAAGAAAAAAAAAAGAAATAAACATATTTATTTATTTATTTTTATTTGAAAATTTGAGTTTGATCACACTATGACCCTTATGAAACTCAAACACAGTTCGATCAAACTAATGGTTTTATTCAAAAAAATGTCTGTTTCCTGATTCAACTGTAATGTTCTCAACGCTTCTTGTCACGTGGCTAACACGATAGTTTGAAGGCGAAGTTTGATAGCAATTTCTGCCCAATCACAAAGCAGATTTTCTCCATTTAATGGCGGCGATGAAGGCAAATCAAAGGTAATAAAACCTTGGTTATATGTTACAAACACTCCGCCACAATTTTATGTAAATAATAGGCTGATTGACCAATGGTATGCTAGTTTCTGATCAAAAAATGCAAAGAATTCGAATTAATTTATAATGTTTTACTTAAGAGAATTGATGCTGCTTTTCATACTTAAATTTTAATACTTATTATACTTATTTTAATACTGCAAAAGCTTTGTCAAAAGGGTTAACTGATACATGAACATTCTAAGTGATATTTGAAGAGTTTGTCCAAAATTTGTACAAATTCTCAATTTTTTCTTTATTAGAGGAAATTTACCGAATAGTGAAAATCTTTGGGAGGTCACAGTGATCACCTAAGATCTCCCATTCCCTGATTACAGTGTGTCTCAAATACAGAAGAAGATCTTATTCTTAAATTGGAAATAGTGAGTCCGATTCAAGGGTTTTCTTTAAAATTGTTATAACTTCACAAATACCTAATATTTTAAAAAAAATAATTGATTCAGTACCAGTGTATTGTTTACTTGAAACCTGCTTTTATTATCTCACTAGCTAAGCACGTGATACGTTCTTTGTGTTGTGATCATGGAAGTGCTAATAACTCTGTTTTTGAACTTTTTATGATTTTCGTGGCATTAAACATTCAGCAAATTTCTGTTTTGCTCATTTTCTTGATTAAATGTATGTAAAATCCACTGCTCTCTATAAAGTATTATTTAGGGTTACTAAGTAAATATTTTCTTTTTTTCTAATGTGTCATATTTTCTGAGAATTACACACACTCCTTATTAAAACTAGTTTTCATATTCGGATACATACATATGCCGGCCAGGGGGCAGAGCGATTAGCTTGCCTGACTGTCAATGGCTGCGAGTTCGAATCTCGCTCAGGGTATGGATTTCACTCTCAGTGTGTTGTCCTCTGGTTGTATGTGATGTGCGAATGTGGTCTACCCTATGAACGGGTATCTGCGGCGGTGAGGGGTGGGTAATGTTTCGCTCGTTTTAGGTCTCAAGGTGCTTACCAGGCAAGGGAAAATGAGTAACACTTCCGGCACCTTCCAAAGCGTAGAACGATCAGTTAGGTACCTGCCGTTTTAGAGAAAAGATTGCGCAGGAACAATTGTGGAGAAAAGATTGCATTTCTTCTCTTCAGTAATCATTTCACATCCAAATGTGAGAGTTATAAAGTATCACAAACTCTTCCCAAATTCGATTAAAAAAGATTTCCTTTCACTTACTCACAATATTCTCCGAATTCCTCTCTTGTAACTGTTAAATCGAAAGCATCGTCAAAATTCCCCTCTTTCACGCACTTCAGAAATACGTCATCTGTGCAATCATCTCCTCTTAAACCGCCTATA